AGAGATGAAACCTGGCATCAATAAAACCCCTGTAAACCAAAGCCTGAGGATATATATATATGTATATATATATGCATATATATACATATATATATTCTCAGGCGTGTGGTGCAAAGCATATATCATACCAGTGAACTTGTACATTACTGTTGAGAAAGATAGTATTACCTGCAAACTAAAGGTTAAATAGTCATCATGTAACATCACATGAGGTCTTCTTCTTTAAAGCTATCTGCCACCAGCACTACATCGATAATGAAGTTGACTATGTTTGATTTTTATGCAGACGACTTATATTGAGGTTGGATAAAATATACCGAAAATCTTTTCCGATTAAATAATCCTGTTACGAGTCGACATGGAACTCAGGGTTTCGACAGTACATCCCCATTTCTTCCTGTTGTTTACAGTCCTCTTCAGCTAATTGCACGATTGTTCATAAGTCGTAATCTATTTCTCAAACGAACTCGTTCATATCATCGTGGGGTGCCCGACTCATCGTTTCTCGTTGGGATTCTACTCTAGGGTCTAGCTCATGATGTCCCACTCAGTGTTTCCCTCAGCATATTGTCCGATCTATGTACATTCCCTCTGGCATATTTGTTGGGTAGTAGATTCCACGCTTGATTCGTTGCCAGAGTTCCTTGGCCACTTGGTCTTCAGTGTAGAGCGAAGGGATGGGGTGGAGTAGCTTTTGAAAAGCTTGCAGCTTGTATCATTGTATGCTTTATAAAGTGCTGCACTTTCTGAACGAAATTCTACTTTGGAAGTCCAGTTTAATTCATTCATTTGCCTTGTCAAACCTTCACACGTGATATTAGTGATAGAAAGTCAATTCTTTAAGTCGATCAATAAGTCACAACTTTTACACTGATTGATCAACTTATTTTCAATTATTCCCCCGTATTTCCAGGTATGTATTGTGATGATATCATTAGCATTATCCTTTTGGGTTCCGAGTGAAACATAGGCTTCCATTTCACACTCTGTTCTCTGGCACCAGGTTCTTACACAAGCTTCCATTTCCCTTCTTCCCCATATCACCTTCGAAACGGTACCCAACTCATCGCTCATCCTCTATTCGGTCTCTACTCATGGATATGGCGCTCGACGTCATTCAACCGTCCCCTCAGTGTTTGTGTGTGTGCCTGATCTACTTCCATTCCCTTCTGTATAGTTGTTGAACGATTGGCTCTCGGTTGATTCTTTGAAAAGGTTCCATACTAACTTATCCTCCTGGCAATCTAATATTCAGTATCGAGTAAAGGGGGCAGTTGTTAGTGAAAGTCTGCACAGCAGGTTGTTGGTGCGCACACCAAATCTTTGAACCCGTAAAGAAGAACTGACTGACTGATTTGATACTAATCTTGAAAGTCTTAATCTTGTTTCCTATGCCAACTGCAGTAGATGTCCACACTGATTGACTTCAAATTAATGGAAGTTTAAGTATGGGTTTGTAGGAATTTGATTTATTTATTACGGGAGTTTTTGGCTAATGGTCGCGCTGTGTCGTGAATTGGCAGAAGTTGGAATTCATGGGCTGACTGGCCATTGGATTGGGTCCCGGTGGCTTAATGGTCTACGAGCTGACTCACCTTGTAACCAGAGGGTCCTGGGTTCGAACCCTCTGTGGTGGATGCGTACTGATGAAGAGTCCCAAACTAGGCGGACGAAACAGCTGGCTGTCCAGTCCTCCCTGATGGTTGTCCAATGGTTCTCTAACCAATGTCAGTTCATGATGAAATTCTGTAATGAAAGTTTGTCGGACAGTATTTACTAGGCCCTTCTATCACGCTACCGTCTCTTTGATAAAATATATTAGCTTGTTTTCAAATGTTGGTTTGTAAGGATTTGATTGACTTGATGTTTGATCATGAACTAGATTCAGTGAGTGAACTGTTTAAACAAAGCAACAACTACAGATTTTGCAGAATAAAATGGTACCATATTTTATTTCGCCGCCTTCTCTTCAGCTGCTTACAGGGCAAAAAAATTATTCAATGTAACTACAATAACAATTTAACATGCTTACGCAGAGTTCATTTTAAACAGAAATCAATCGATCAATATACACATACACTAATAATATATATATATATATGTATATATATATGCAATCTTGAATACAATTCCGAGCATTAATAATCATACAAAATGAAAACTTTTTAGTATCTCGCATTAGGATGAAAAATATCTAGTTACCAGGGCAAAGAAAGACTGATAACTGCTTCTTTCTGAACGCACAAATCAGGTTTTAGGCGCTTGATGGAAAAGGCTTCAGCAAACTTAAGGAGCATTGAACTCTTTTGCTTATTGATAATTTTGAATGACTTTTCCACGTCCACCTCATGACCCGTGTCAAGAAGATGCCTGGCGATGGCACTGCCTAAAGCATTTGTTCCCTTTAGACGTAAGCTTTTTGGTACATGTTCAGAAAATCGTAGATATGCTCTTCTTTCTGTTCTTCCAATGTAACTGCTCCCGCAGATACATGTAAATTTGTATATACAGTTGGAGTTAACATGAGAAGGATATCTATCGATTTTTGATTGCACCAGAGAGCAAATTGTTCGAAAGACGGGAACGAGCTTAGCTGCAGGATAGCCTATGGCTAGTGGTGTACTCAGCCTTCTGTTGATCATCGCTGCAATGTTTTCGCCTTTATAATCAAGCTCAAAGTAGATTGGCTTTTTTCTTACTGTGATTAGTTTTTCATGTGCGACTGCAGATCTTCCATACTTATTGATAAACCTTTGAGGGTACCCATTGCTCTTCAAAGTCTTTTCAAGAAACTCAAATTCTTCCTCTAGTTTCTCTGTAGAGTGAACTATTGAAAACCTAGGTGGGGTACTGAACAGCTGTTTCGTCCTTATTCGGGATGCTTCATCAGTTAGCACTCTTGATCTCACCACTAAGAATCGAACTCAGGAACTTCAGGTTATAAGGTGACCTTGTTGATCAATTAGCTGGTGGGATGGAATCCTGAAGGTCCTGTCTATAATCCTTGGTGAAGTTATCGGCGCATACTACTGAAGAGTCCCAAAGAAGGACTCTACCTGCTTTTCAATAGTTCCCTAACTGTTGTGTCACTTCGTGATGAAATATAGGCTTGTTTTGAGGCTACTCCTCTTTACCTCCGCTAGTGACCATCTCCACTGAGATTAGTCATTCTCATAGATTTTCTTATGATTGTATTCGCCTGTATTGCCTGTACTGATCTGGCTATTTATCAAAGGACGTGTGTACTGCGCACCCATTCGTTGTGTCTTTCTTTGTGGCTGTGAGACGTGGCCATTGGAAGTGGAAGATATGAAAAGGCTAGCTGTCTTTGACCATAGATGTTTGCTGACTGACTGACTGGTTTCAACATACAACTTTGCACCGATGCGCGGCAGCAGTTCGAGTCCCCACACTTCACTCAGCACACAAAGCCAGCGAAGAAAGTAAAAAGAAATGCAAAATAGTCACAGTAAACAGAGATATGAGGCAAAAAGAATAGTACTGTGGAAGAACAATATAGTTTTATTGGGTATTATAAGTCACAAGGAGTGGATGCATCTGCGCCAGCCATTGACAACGATTTTGAGTCAGCCATATTACCAATTGTCTCCAGCCTTCATTGTTTTTACCGTCTCGAGGACCCCAACCAGACAGGAAGTCTACTCCTCCCTATGTGGCTGTCTTAAACTAACAGTTGTGGATTTCATTGACTGATGAAGCCACTGGCTCTTTTCCAACCTGATCCACCCCATTTCAGTCAGCTAACATTGCCCGATGTCGAGGAAGACGATCAGTGGCTAGGGATGCATGCATAACGCATGTCCAAACCATCTCAGTCGATGTAACTTCACAGTCTCGTTTATTGATTTCCCCTCCTTACCTAGCACTCGACCGACGCCTAACATCAATATTGCTTACCCTATTATACCACTTCACACGGGAGATAGGATGCAGGCACCTATGATCAAAGACAACTAGCCTTTTCATGTCTTCCACTCTCAATGGCCATGTCTCACAGCCATAGGTGTTTGCATTCTATCGCACGTGTTAAAAGGGTATAATATATGCTGAGTAATATTGAGGTTAGGCGCTAAGTGGTTAGGTAAGAAAGGTGAAGTCAATCAATGAAGTATTTGAAGGTGAATCAATTGAGGCGGTTCAAACATGTATCACGCGTGCCGAGCCATCGCCTTCCTCGACGGGCAATGTTCGCTAACGTGATTAAGTTGGAAGAGGGTTATGATTGGTCAAACTAAGACCTGGCATCAGTTCATGAAGTGTCTGACAGTTAGTTTAAGCCAGCCATGTAGGTGGGGGTGGGTGGGTGGGCGGTGTAGACTGCCTGGTTGAGGTCCTTGATATGCTAGAAACCAGTGGCTGGAGACTATTGGTAATATGTTTCAAAATCGTTGTCCCGTACATATCTAATGATTATGGTTCTTTTGAATCTCCCTTTGTGTGCTCCATGGAGTGTGGCAACTGGAGTTGTTGCACTTCTGTGCAACTTTTTATGCTGGAACTCAGTCAGTCAAATCTTTTCGTTGATCTGATATCATACGTTTTAGTCCTGTTTTAACAACAGAAGACAACGGCCAGGCAACGGATCGTTTATTAAGGAAATCAACAGATATTTATAGATTTTCATGTACATTATTATAGATTATTGTAAGCAAACAAACACAGTCTTCTGATTGGTTGTTTCTCACTGAAAGTTAATCTTTCATCTCTTTGTGGCTGTTTTTTGAATGTCAGATCATCTATACGCTAATTGTATACGCCTACACAAAGTCTGTTGTGGTTGGTTGTTGATTCAGTCTTTGTTCATATTTTTCTCACGACCAATATTGGGGACGTAAACTTTGACGTAAATTACTGTCTACCAATTTGGCTAGCAGCCAGCTCTCACCACACTGTAATCTGTGTATATCTATTGATGTAACCGTATTCATAATATGTGTGTGTGTGTATTATCTCTTGTTCATATCCACGTTTATTTTTAGTATCTTGGTGATCAAACGGCTACATCTGTAAAAAATAAATGTGCTCAATTATTGCATAACTGGCAACGTGATTATTCATCTAGTGAACCAAAATTTGCTGAAGCTTATAATATGCTTGTTAGAGAAGGGATTATCACTGCAGAACAAATCACCACAAATGGACCTAATTCAAAGGTAATGCCATTTTTGTTTTGTTTTGTTTTGTCTTTTCTGTTCTTTCACTCACTCACTCACTCACTCACTCACTCACTCACTCACTCACTCACTCACTCACTCACTCACTCACTCACTCACTCACTCACTCACTCACTCAGTAGTTTAATAAGAAAAGCTGAAGTCGACCTTTAAAAGTAATTTTATTCATGATGTACTAATGGAATTCACCCTAACTGCTGAATTCAGCGACTCAGGGATTGACTTGTTACCAGGGAATAATCTCGTTGACTCCTTCTAGGTGAGGATGCTGACAAAATGCAGAGTCTTCTGAACACCTTGAGCTAAGAAGCAATCTTCGAATGATTGGCATGCGATTCGTTCCCGCTAAATGTAAGATGATGAAGCTACAGGCCTGGACTACATTGACTCCTAGCTCAGAAATAGGGAGTGAAGTCGTAGAGCATGTTGACCACTTACTTATTTGGGAAGTTGCATCAGTCAGCCAACGGGTTGATCTCTGATGAAATCTCATCAGGGATACAGAAGGCTCGTTTGGCATATGCCAGTTTACGCCATCTCTGGCTTAGCAGACGTGATATCCGGCTGATTATCGATCAAAGGACGTGTGTACTGCTCAGCAGTCTGCCTTTGATCATAGGTAACTGCGTTCTATCTCCCGTGTAAAGTGGCATAATATTGAGGTTAGGCATCGGTCGAGTGCTAGGTAAGTGGGAGGAGAAACCAATAGACGAGGCTGTGAAGTTACATCGACTAAGATGGTTAGGACATGTGTTATGCATGCCTGGCTAGCCATCGATCACCTTCCTCGATGGGCAATGTTAGCTGACTGATATAGGATAGATGGATCAGGTTGGAAAAGAGAAGGCTAGTGGTAGTGAAGCCAAAACATGGCTACATCAGTCAATGAAATCCAGAACTATTATTTTAACACAGCCAGCCATGTAGGGAGGTGTAGACTGACTTCCTGGTTGGGGTCGTCGGGATGGTAAGAAGCAATGAAGGCTGAAGACAACTGGTGATGTGGCTGGTTCAAAATCGTCGTTGTCAATGGCTGTCACAGATGCATCCACTCCTTGTGACTTATAATTTCCAATAAAACTATATGGTTCCTCCATGCTACCATTCTTTTTGCCTCATATCTCTGTTTACTGTTGTGTGTTAACGCCAGTCAGTTAGTCAATTATTTATGATACTATGCACTACTAATTGGTTGGATACTACTTTTATCATCCAGTAGTACATGCGCTAGCCAACTAGATCGAAGTAATTTAAACATCGGATGACCGTTTCATTCGTTTGGGGGCAGAGGTCATTTAGTGCAGTTTACCCAGCTCTATGTCAGCGTAGACAGCCGAATCACTGTTCATCAGTTCATCAAATCAACTGAATTCTGACTACTTGTTGATGTGTGAGTAGTATCAGTCAGTCGTTAATCAGTAGTATATATTGCCATGTCCTTGACTATAATTGATTGCTTTCAGTGTTTTCCCTACCAAATATGTTCACTTGTCTGCTGGTGGTTTATCTAGTATTTGACCTTTTTTACCATGTGAGACTTGTGCTTTTCATTGATTGACAGATATCATCCGTCAATCAGATCAGATTGATCAATACGAGTACAATTGAGCACATTTTGTAAGAAAGCCTGTGAACGCAACCAATCACAGTCAAGATTACCTAGAGATAGACAGATAGACAGATGGTTATATGTGTAATTCATTTATAATTTTTGAAAGCGTCTACAAAAACAAAGATAGCTCGGCAATTCATCCGCCATTCATCTGAAAGGAGGCGCCAACGCGAAAAAAAGCAGCTCAAATTACGTCTAAGTTTAATGGGCCACAAGTCGATTTTTCTCTCTCCTTCTTAAGTGTGTAAATAATCGATATTCACTCTTTGTATGGGCAGAGGTGTAGGGGTAGGACAGAGAGATCGGCAGCGGCGGGGATGGGGTGAAAGCGGGAATCAATACAAATTTCTAATTCTAATAAAATATAAAGCTGTCGATGGGGTGCAATTTGATATCTTGATGTGAACAAGATTACGAACACGTCTCTGTGTGTGTGCGTGTGTGCATGTGTGTGTGTGTGTGGTTTATACATCTTTTAATAAACATCCTTTATCTTATTATGCACTTTTCTGAAAGCGAAAATATTATCTGCCTGAGTCACTAGTTTCATATTGTAATTATGTTAAGCTACTTACCTGAATAGGGCCAATCACTACTAGCGAGTATCAGAGTCCCAAACTAGGTAGACGAAACAACTGGCTATCCATCAGTACTCCCAGCTGGTTTTCCAATAGTCCTCTAACCGATGTCAGTTCATGATGAAATCCTGTTGCCAACGGGGTCAATTCCCTGCAAACCAACACTTGAATATCAAATATATTTCTAACACTATTATGAAGATAAAAAAATTTAGCTAAGTCCCCCACCTTAATGGTATTCTATTCTAATTCCTCCTTTTCTCATTGTGTGGTGAGAGCTGGCTGCTAGCCAAAGTTGGTGGACAGTAATTGACGTCAATGTCTATGTCCCCAATATTGGTGGTGAGAAAATGATGAGAACAAAGGCTTTGCGTAGGCGGATACAGTTAGCATATGGATGATCTGACACAGCCACAAAGAGATGCAAGGTTAACTTTCTGTGAGAAACAACCAATCAAAAGACTGTATTTTCTACTAACAATAATCTACAATAATGTACATTAAAATCTATAAATATGTGTTGATTTTCCTTAATAAACGATCTGTTGCCTGACTGGCCTTGTCTTCTGTTGTTCCAATTGTAGTTTAATTTTCTTTCTATCTGTCTGCTTATAGGTTGGTCATACAGCATCTACAACTGCTGAAGAAAGACAGAATATATTTGAACGTAATAAAAAATCTGAGGTAAGATATTATCGATTTTTATTGATATTTTTTTCTCTCCGAGTAGAATCATCACCTCATATGGCGGGGGGGGGGAATGCGGATAATTTAGATTTGAGTTGAGTATTAGTAGTAGTGGTACAATGGATTACCTAGTTCAAAGATGAAGGAGTAAAATGGTTGAGTGTGTCTTCTAACCAGTTCCCTTTTCCTTAAGAAGTGGTATCAGTCGCAATGAACTGATTGCTAATGAAACATGGATAGCATGGATACTACAGCCTTGTTGTGACCTTTTGTCAACTTGTATCATATTTAGCTTAGGCATAAACGGACGTGTATGTACATTGTGCTGTGATTTATGCCTCCCTACTTTATTGCTGTGTGAGACATAACCTTTGAAAGTGGGAGATAGAAAGACATTCATCATATTCAGTGTAGATTTTCGGAAACTAGGGAGAACTGCTGGACAGCTGTTTCATCCTTGTTTAGGACTCTTCATTAATGTGTGTGTGTGTGTGCACCGACTACCACCACCACCCCACCAGGGATCGAACTCGCGACCAAGCTCACTCTAAGCATTCAACCGTTTCGACCGGAATTCAACGACTTTTTCATTCTAATCTAGTCAATTCGTTGTTTTAACCACAGGAGAATTTGTGTCTATAGTCAGTAATAGTAGTAGTGTGAGGTTACATGTAAAGTGGTTAGCTAAGGAGGGAAAATTTATGGATGAAATTGTAAAGTTAAATCGATTGAGATTTTTCGCATGCCGAGTCGTCTTCCTCTTTGTCTAACACTCTGGACTGAACTGAGAGTAGAACAGACAGACTGACTGGTTTCTAAGTAGAACTTTGCACAGATGTGCAGCAGTTCCAGTTGCCACCCTCCATGTATCACACAAAGCAAAAGAAGAGAGTAAAGAGAGATAATAAACAGAAGTTTGAGTGAGGGAAAAAGAATAGTAATATGGAAGAACAATAGAGTTTTATTGGATATGACTGGCAAGTCACAAAGAGTGAATGCATCTGCGCCATTCATTGAGAACGATTTTAAACCAGCCATGTCACCAATTGTCGCCAGCCTTCATAGGTTCTTACCACCCCAAGGACCCCAACCAGTCAGGAAGTCTACATCTCCCTACATGGCTAGCTGTCTGGCTTAAACTAACTGTTGTGGATTTCGTTGACTGACAAAGCCATGTTTTGGTTTGACCACCACATGCTAGCTCTTTTCCTACCTGATCCATCGTATGTCAGCAAACATTGCTCATTGTCGAGGAAGGTGATGTTTAGGCTAGACCAAGCATGCGTAACACATATCCTAACCATCTCTCTCAATCGATGTAACTGCTTCACAACCTCATCGTCGATCGATTTTGCCTCCTCTTAGAATAGAAAAGATAATTAGACATGAGACTATAGATCCTTGAATTGCCTATTTTTTGGTGTCATAGTATTTGTGTAAAGGTGGTGTTACAGAAAAAGCGCGTCATTCCAATTTGTGTTTTTTTTCTGTTTATTGATATTATCTCGACACTATTGATTGATTTCAATCAGCACACACGCACACACACACACACACACTAACAACTAGACAGATGCTATGCTCATCCGTATAATCATTGGGCAAGCTCTTCATTAGTAAACAACAATCTCTGTCTGTCTGTTTTCGACATAGAACTTTGCACATATGTGCGGCAGTTCAAGTCGCCACACTCCATGTAGCACACAAAGCAAGAGAAGAAAGTAGGAGAAATGCATATTAGAGACAGTAAACAGCGGCGTGAGACAAAGGAATAGTAATAACGAAGAACAAAAACAACAATGCTTTAAGGTTGATGACAGTGTCGTCGATGAGATTACGTCATGGATCTTTTCGACGTCTAGAGAGTTCACTAAGTGTTTTTGTTGTTGTGTGTAGTTTGCCAGATATAGTGAGTTATTCAACTGCAAAATACCATCGGTTGATGTTGGTGTTTTAGGCTTATCGAATTGCTTACATCACGGTTAGTAGTAGTATTATACTGTAACGGCAGAACACAAGAGTGTTAGATAGTTGGAGGCAATCGGCCACAGGAAGCCTTGGACCTAGATTTCGTGCTAGTTGGCACTCATCAGCAAGGCGTATCTGCAATCTTGAAGGAACTCATGTCCCTTCTGAGATTCGAACCCGCGTCACCCAGTGGGGCTGCAGTCAGAGACGTTACCACTGAGCTATTCGGGCTCGCGATTGACCTCCTGTAGGATTGTAGTGGATGCTTTGGTTGGACACTACTAACTAGTGTGACGTGTCTAGTCCTTTCTTTGGTGCAGACTGAATTCTCTCAGTCAATCAAAATACCCACTGCAGTCCTACAGGAGGTCAATCGCGAGCCCGAATAGCTCAGTGGTAACGTCTCTGACTGCAGCCCCACTGGGTGACGCGGGTTCGAATCTCAGAAGGGACATGAGTTCCTTCAAGGTAGTTGCAGATACGCCTTGCTGATGAGTGCCAACTAGCACGAAACCTAGGTCAAGCAAGGCTTCCTGTGGCCGATTGCCTCCAACTATCTAATATCATCAAATCAATATGCACCGTGATGGCGAGCTACCTAGACTAGTGGACACATTGCAAACCTGACTGACTGATAGAATTCAGTCTGCACCAAAGAAAGGACTAGACACGTCACACTAGTTACTGACTAGCGTCCAATCAAACTACAACACAAGAGTGTAAGACAACACGATGTTTTTTTGCAATTCGGTATACACATCTAGGGAAATTGTGCATACTATATGTATATTAAAATCGTCATTTGCACAGATCTTCCATGATGTGCCACTTCTGCACTTCGTATTGTGTTTTTCCTTCCCTTCTTTTCGTCTCTCCCATATTTCTCCGCGATATTCATTCCTTTCCTCTCTTTCACATCAAATCCATCTCTCTGCAATTTGATATTGTTGTGCTGATGAAAGCCTCTTTGTATACCACCGATAAATCTTCTCAATAGCACATGCCACACTCGTCCTCCTGATCAGAGCTGATCCGACCTTCTTGCTTCATTCTACCCATCCTTGTTGTACCTTGCTTCCAGATTCCTTGTCACACTGTACGTATTGCTGCAGTTGGCTGACATTAACCCGTTTCTGACCCTTTCGGGACCAAGTCTCTCGGTGACTGTATATGGTCCTTCTCGCTTCGGAAGGAGTCCCCGTGAACCTCGGTCACATCTAACTGTGTACTACCTTTCTCTACACTTTAATTGATCGCCGACGTCGAAGGTTATGCATTCCATCTTTTACCTCTGTTGAGATTTCGCAGCGTCCATCTTCTGTTTGTTATGTTTACATTCCTGACGGCTCCTGTTTCTCGTTCCGTTCCGTTCGCAATCTCGTCGTACTCCACTCTTGGTGAAGGGGCCAGGTTGCGCTGTGTATTGGTAGTCGTGGTCTCCTGCCATACACCAACTGAAAAGGTGACTTCTTTTTTGTTTCCTGGGTGGAAACACAACGTGCTAGTAGAATCAATGGACGCTCTGTCTCCCAGTTACCTCCCTTCGAGGGGGTTATTTCTCTCTGTCAATCACCATTCATTTGTGGATGATATGGTGTTGTTCTCATCTACTTGATATCTAGCCGTTTTCATCCGGCCCCAGCTTCGCGCCACGGAACTGCTGGCTCGCCAGTTGCCTGTCCATCGGGCTGTCGAACTCCGCCACCAGTTGTTCAACCAATACCTTCCAAGTCTCTTTGTTACCTGACTGCTCCACACTGTTGTAAGCGGTAATTTCCCAACCTTTCAACAGTGTCCCTAACACAACCGCCTTCACCGTCGGATGCTTGACACCCACCAACCCAGCAACGGCATCGAAGTCTCATAAGAGGCTCTGTATGTCTCCTTCTTCGAAGGTCGTGGGCCGTGAGATCCCTGTTTGTTCGGAGACAGTGACACTAAGTGTAACGGCAGAACATAAGAGTAGCTGGGTGACGCAATCTTTATTTGCAATTTTTTTATGTACATTTAAGGAAATTATGCATGCATTTCCACAGATCTCTCCTATATGTGTGGTGTCGATAATTCCCGTGTTTGTTCATATCAAAGTGGAAACAGACATTACTTTACCAGCCACTCTTTTGTTGGTGCGTTACTTTATTATTTAACTGTTGTGTTTATGAAGGTGGTATGTCTCTGAACCACAGATGTTTGCCTTCTATCTCGGGATTTAAGTAGTTTTATATAGTATGATGAGTAATATTGAGGTTAGGCGTTGAGGTTTATTTAGGGGAGGACAAAACAGTCGGTGAGGTTGTAAAGTGACATCGGTTGAGGTAGCTTGGGCATGTGTTGTTATGTATGCCTAGGCATTGCCGTCTCCGGCGAACAGTGTTAGCCGATATATTTGATTAGTTTGGAAAAGAGCTAGTGGTGGTCACATTGAAAGCTATTATGAATTTACGAAGTCTTTGACTGTCGATTGGTGTAGCGTAGGGAGGTAGGACTGATTAACCCGGCTAGGATCCTAGAGACACTAAGAACCAATAGTTTTAGACTGTTGGTGCTATTATCAAATCATTGAAGGTATAGAAATTAAAAAAATCAATTGAAAGCAACTAACTAATAATTTTTTTTTAAAATTGATCTCACATCTCTTTTTTCTCTCTATATCTATGTATTAAAGCGTCTAACTCAACTCCTTCGAAGTCGTAATCCAGCTGATCTACGTGAAGCGAATGCACTTATCAAGAGTATAGTTGAAGAAGTGAGTTTTTGTTATAAATCGCATTTTGTTGGAAACATCTTTGTGTGTGTGTTGTGTTTTACATTTCAAAAATTATATAACCTTGGGGGGGGGGAATCAGTGCCATCACTTTTTTTATCACGAGCAGGTATCATCTAGGGCTAAGGGGGGGGGGAAGGCGGAGTGGCGAATTATTCAAAACGAGAAAATGCTGTCCGCTCACGAGTACCTTGTTAGCTTGTAAGATCAGTGGATAGGGGGAGGAGTCATTTCTGACATGCTTCACATGTTTATTCAGATATTATTACTATTATTATTGTTCCCTTGGGTTCTGAGTGGAACATAGGGCTTCAACAACACATCTCCATTTTGTTCTATTTGGTGCTGTCCTCTTCAGCTGGGTCCACGATTGCCTATAATCTCTCATCTCCTCCATGTCACCGTCGATGTGACGATCCACTCGTTGCTTCCCGTTCAGATTCCACTCAAGTAATGGCCTGCATTTCACGTGATGTAATAATAATTATGTTAGCAGAAACCGGAATTATTCAAATCATGAAATACATGATCCGCCCGCTTGATATAGCATAAATGGGTGATCAAGAGAGTAAGTGCTATATACTACTACTAACTGATTGACGGGTATGAGTAGTTGGTTATCACATATATCAACCAATAATGCTTGCTGGCCAGCCAGATCAAAGTTGTCTAAACACTAGTGGGGGGTTCTGATCATTTTTGGTCAAGCCTAGAGTTCTCAAACTGTTTGGAGACCTACAGTTGTTCTCAGTGTCAACACTATTCATCATCCTTCATTATCTTCAAAGTTTGGTAACGTTTTTATGAGGTTTTACGAGTTGATCACGGATGGATATCAGTGAGAGAACCATTGAAAACCACCTGGGAATACCGGACAGCTGTTTCGCCCTACTTTGGGACTCTTCAACAGCACACACCTACTGGGGTTCGAACCCAGGACCTTCCTGTTACAAGGCAAGCTGTTTCGTATACCATTCAGCCACTGGGACCTGATTCAATGGTCGGTGCACGAATGCTAACTTCTACCAGTTCGTGATTTTTAGCACGACCCCAACTAATGTCGTCAGTGGGACATTCATCCTCACACGTGACATCTGGATGGACCTCACTGGTCACGACTTCTCACTAGAACTCACTCCAGGAAACTCCGTCGTCCTGTAGCAAGTCACTAGCGAGCATCAGATTAATTTTCTATAGTTTGGTTTGTAAGGATTAGTTTTGTTTTTACGAGTTGATCACGGATTGATATCAGTTATAGAAGCATTGGAATACTGGACAGCCGGCTGTTTCATCCAGCTAGTTTGGGAATCGTCGGCAGTACAGTTCTCTAACTCTGGTATCAATCCGTGATCAACTAGTAAAAACAAAACTAACCGTTACAAACCAAACTATAGAAAATTAATCTGATGCTCGCTAGTGACTTGCTATAGGACGACGGAGTTTCCTGGAGTGAGTTCTAGTGAGAAGTCGTGACCAGTGAGGTCCATCCAGATGTCACGTGTGAGGATGAATGTCCAACCGACGACATTAGTTGGGGTCGCGCTAAACGCATCACGAATTGGTAGAAGTTAGAATTCATGTGCTGGCCATTGAGTCGGACGGGTCCCAGTGGCTGAATGGTATACGAGCCAGCTAGCTTGCCTTGTAACCGGAAGGTCCTGGGTTCGAACCCCACTATGATGGGTGCGTACTGCTGATGATTCCCAAACTAGCTGGATGAAACAGCTGGCTGGTTTTCAATTTATTTGGCTCTGTCATCTTTTCTTTCATATTCCATTTTGTTACCAATCTTAATTCTATTATTTTTCTTTCTTTTGGTAGTATTATTTGTGCATGATTCAATGTGTTTGTCTGTTTGGCTATCTCTGTGTACTGCGTTTCTCTTAATAAGCCTTCTTCTGGTTATACTCCTCCCCCGCCCTCTCTCTCTCTGTCTCGGTAGCACACATCCACACACACATACGAATGCACTAGGTATAACCCCCTCCTCTCAAGTGCTTATCGCATGAATTTTTACCTACACAGATAAGTATTGAATAATGATAATAATAAGTTTTATGCTTATACAACTATTTAAAAAAATATTTTTCATAAAAATAAGTTGTATAACATGTTTGTTAAACACAGTTGAATTGTGATAGAGTGATAGAATGTTGAATTTTGAATTTATCTGAACAAAGTACCAACTTTATTTTCTCATTGATGTTTCTATTTTGTTGATTTGTACTTTTGGTTTTCATTTGTGCGTGTGTGTGTGTGTGCTTTTTTATACGTTTAATCTAATCTGATGTTGTACACCTCGTTAAATAATAATGAGAAATTAGTGGATGGTTACTAGCAGTGGAATCCACCAGGATAACGCGCATTTCGTCCTATTTGGGACTCGTCTGCCAGCTGGATGTACCTGCATTCCCCCCCCCACCACCAGTGAGTAAGTGATGATGTTCCCCGCACCGAGGCTCAAACCCAGTGCCCATAGTTTCAGACGCCAAAGCGTTATCCACTAGACCACTTGGGCCACAAGAGAGCTAGCCGCCTCTTGTGCAGCGGGTCAAAGCATCTGCACAAGAAGCCGACATGTCAACCTGAGACCGAACACTTCGGTCCAATCAATCGATGGGAAAATCTAAAAATTCAATTAAGTAATAATGGCAATCGGATTTAGTTGGAAAAAAGGTTATGAATAATCAAATCAAAGCATAATGGCATCAATTCATCAAATCTTCGACTGTTACTGTAGACTATCTGATTAGGGTCATTGAAATGCTTCGAATCAATGCCTGAAGACTGTTGGTAGTGATATGACTTAAAATCGTTGTCAGTGGCACTAGCTCTTTGTCATCTCACAGATTTATTCAGTCCTCGTTGTCTTTCATGTTATTATTTCTTTCTCCTCACCCCCATTTCTGCTCATTTTACTACCTTTGGATCTTGGTTCTCTAACTTTGTGTGTTTTCTGGAGTACGGCAACGTGAATTGCTACATGCACTTCTGTGCAAAGTTCTATGTTCGAACCCAGCCAGTCAATCAGTCAGTCAGTCAGTCCGCTTGCCCGAAATATCTTCAGCATATGTACTTGTTTATGTATTGTGTTCTACGCAGAAAAATCCCCAAGATTTTGACATTTCATTGATGAGTGGCCCTCTTTTTATTTATATTTTCAAGTTTAACCACAGATGGATATTATCAGTTAGAGAACTATTGAAAACCACTAAGAGAGTACTGGACAGCTATTTCGTCCTGGTTTGGGACTCTTCAGTAGCACGCACCCACCGGGATTCGAACCCAGGATCAGGTCCCATTGGCTCAATGGTCTACAAGCTCGCCTTGTAACCAGAAAGTCCTGGGTTCGAACCCCGGTGAGTGCGTACTGCTGAAGAGCCCCAAACTAGGATGAAACAGCTGTCTAGTACTACCAGGTTTTCCAGTGGTTCTCTAACTGATATCAGCTCATGATGAAATCCTCTATGCAATCAAACAAAATCCCTACAAAACCAATACTTAAAAGTTAAATTTGAGACAAATGAAACGTCACCAAATTGACTCTTGAAAGTTAATCTGAACGAAGTTGCCTAGAGTTTTAATGGGGTCCACCCGGTTGGAAGTGAGGAAATATACCCGCCGGCAATGACATTGGCGGCCGGCGGTTGCCCTAAAATCACGAATTGATGGAAATTAGGACTTATGGGTGACTCAGTCCGGGTCCCAGTGGCTGGATGGTGTATGAGTTTGCCTTGTAACTGGAAGGCTCTGGGCTCGAACCCCAGTGAGTACATACTGCCAGTAGTCCCAATCAATAGCTGCTACCTTGACGTGTTGGTCGGGCTTGCACATTACGATGACCCACCAAGCTGCACTGGCTGGAACCAGGCAGGCTTTAGACCAGGAAGAGGGTGTATTGATCATATCTTCACCCTTCGACAGATTCTAGAACATAGGCTTTCTTACCGGCGTCCAACAATCATTATATTTCTTGACCTAAAGGTGGCATTCGATTCTGTCGACCGAGAGGTACTCTGGTGATGCTTGGCTGTAAAGGGAATGCCAAGAAAATACATTGCACTGATCAAGGCACTCTACTCGAACTCATGCAGCCAGGTGAGGGCTTATGGCGAGTTGTCATCTGAAGTGGTGGCGAATAGTGGCGTCCGGCAGGAATGCCAATTATCCCCATTCCTATTCAATTTCATCATAGATGTACTAATGGATTTAACCCTAACTCACTTCAGAGACTCAGGGATTGACTCGCTATCAGGGAGGAAATAATCTCGTTGACTTAAAATATGTAGATGATATAGTCCTTCTAGGCGAGGATGCTGACAAAATGCAGAGTCTTCTGAGCACCTTGAGCTGCATTCTACGAATGTTTGGCATGCAATTCGCCCCTGTAAAATGTAAGATGATGTTACAGGACTGGACTACACTGACTCCTAGTTTAGAAATAGGGAGTGAAGTGGTAGCTGAAAGATTAGCTGTCTTTGATCACAGGTGCCTGGGCTCTATCTCCCGTGTGAAGTGGTATAATAAGGTGAGCAATATTGATGTTAGGCATCAGTCGAGTGCTAGGTAAGGAGGGGAAACCAATCGACGAGGCTGTGAAATTACATCGACTGAGATGGTTGGGACATGTGTTACGTATGCCTAGTCATCGCCTTCCTCGACAATGGGCAATGTTAGATGACATAGGGTCAGTTTGGAAAAGAGTTGGTGGTGTTCAAACCAAAACATGGCTTCATCAGTCAACAGAATCCACAACAGTTAGTTTAAGCCACATAGGAACGTGTTGACTTCTTGACTGGTTGAGGTCCTCGGGATGATAAAAGCCAATGGAGGCTGGAGACAATTGGTGATATGGCTGGCTCAAAATCTTTATCAATGGCTGGCGCAGATGCATCCACTCCTTGTGACTTATAATACTCAATAAAACTATAATGTTCTTCGTTATTACTATTCCTTTTGTCTCATATCCCTGTCTACTGTCTCTATTTTGCGCTTCTTTTTACTTTCTTCTCTTGCTTTGTGTGCTACATGGAGGGAGTGTGACGATTTGAACTGCTGCACATCGGTGCAAAGTTCTATGTCGAATACAGACAGACAGACATTGCCAATAGTCCCAAACTAGGACGTAACAGCTGTCCAGTACTCTAATTGATATCAAATCCCTTCAAACTTACACTTGAAAATGTTTGTATTTCCTTTAGATTTATCCAATATACCGCTGGCGAATTCAGTGATTAAGTTATATCAATAAAAAATTGTGAGTATTATTGATTCTCACAACTGGGTGTGTGACTTTCAAGTTATGTATTGTGAGTCAATGCGGGAAATATTGTAGATATATATATTTCATTCAAAATTCAATGATATAACCAGTATAAATTATCGAATTCCTATACTTCCTTTACTAGGGTTATGATGGTCTAATTATTACTCATAGGAATTTATGAGCATTATTGGTAAATCAATTATTCCTCTTGGCCTTTTCATAGTTCAATGATAGACTGTTTGTCAGACATGCCGGAAGTCCGAGTTTAATTCCTTGCTGATAAACTCCTGACTGACAGACTGACTGACTGGTTTCATCGTAGAACTTTGCACCGATGTGCAGCAGTTCAAGTCGCCACACTCTCTACATGCAGCACACAAAGCAAGAGAAGAAAGTAAAAAGAAACGCGAAATAGTGACAGTAAACAGAGATATAAGGCAAAAGGAATAGTGATATTGAAGAACAGTATATTTTTATTGAGGATTACGAGTCCCAAGGAGTGGATGCATCTGCGCCAGCCATTGATTTGAGCCATATCACCATTTTTCTCCAGTCTTCATTGATTTTTACCGTCTCGAGGACCCCAACCAGTCAGGAAGTCTACACCTTCCTACCTGACTGGCTGTCTGGCTTAAACTAACTGTTGTGGATTTCATTGACTGATGAAGCCATGTTTTGTTTTGACTACCACTGGCTAGCTCTTTTCCAGCCTGACCCTATGTCAGATAACATTGCTCATTGTAAAGGAAGGCGATGTCTTGTTTGCTAACCGGTATGTAACCTTGAGAAATAGGGAGGGTATCAAGTGGGTCTAGGAGCCTCGCCCATCCTCCACCTGGTAGCGAAAACAGCACCACAGCTACGGGAATTTCAAAAGCCTGAATCTCCGAATGCCTAAAATTGCCAGACTCTCTGCAAGATAAAAAAAACTGATCAATGTGGAGCCTGTGTTAAGTGTGGTTTGCATGAATTCACTTCCTGGGCTATAATATGAACCACAATTATAATGTGATGGAGGCTGACAACGTTAATGCAAGTGTGGAGCTTGGTCACACTGTGGTGGAATGTAATTCCATAGTTAGATGAGTTTATTTGAAATAATACACAGTCATGCAGTCATACTAACTGGATGACAATGTTTCAAGCACAATTTATTGCTCATAAGCATATTGTGGTGAGAGCTGGCTGCTAGCCAAAGTTGGTAGGCAGTAATTGAGGTCAATGTTGATGTCCCCAATATTGGTGGTGAGAAAATGAGAACAAAGGCTTTGCGTAGGCGGGTACAGTCAGCATATGGATGATCTGACACAGCCAGCCACAAAGAGATGCAAGGTTAACTTTCTGTGAGAAACAACCAATCAAAAGACTGTATTTCCTACTAACAATAATCTACAATAATGTACATTAAAATCAATAAATATGTGTTGATTTTCCTTAATAAACGATCTGTTGCCTGACTGGCCTTGTCTTCTGTTGTTACAATATGACTTTAGTCATATTATGTTGAGTACTACTGATAAGATTTATCAGTAGTCTATAGAGTGACGTTCATCAGCTGACATAAAAATATCAAATAGCTTAGGAGATATGAAAGGAACATAAAGAAACACAACATGAAGTCCAGAAGTACCACAACGTTGGAGATCTGTGCAAATGGTGTGGCGTTGAAGATAAGGTTATACATAATTTGGCTATATGGAGATACCAATTTCCAAATAGACTTGATTTGCCAAGTCTTTCGTCTTCTACGGCTTCACAATTGCCTTTATATGTGTTTTTCTTCATTTCTCTCTCTCTCTCTCCGCCTTGTTGTTTGTTGTAACTTTCCATATCTCTGGAATTTTCGTTGAGTCATTTCAATTGTATGTGTGCGATGTTGAATCGATAAATAAAGCTTCAATGATTAACCTCTCTCTCTATGTGTGTCTCACTGATGGTGCTACCCAGTTGTCCAGGCTGAAATAAGTTGAGCTAGATTATCCCTTGGGACTCAATGATTGAAAGTCAATGAGTCACATCTCCTTGTGTTTACTTAAAAAAGAAACGTAGTCTGTTGAAATGACTAGGATAGACGTCGAGCATGCACCGAGACATTGACTTCTTCGACGAGCAATATTAACAGATGTATGATAAGGCTGGGCGAGAGTTATGGGCTGTTAGACCAAAACACATGGCATCGTTCTATTACCCTTAATCTGTTGATTAGGGCTCCTTAGGGGGAAGGGGAGTGTACACCACCTGGCTGATGTCCACTAGTCACTGAAAATAAACGGTTGGAGAATGTGGTCTGTCTGTCTGTCTGTCTGTCTGGAATCAACATAGAACTTGGCACCGAAGTGCAGCAGTTCCAGTTGCCACGTTCCAAAATAGCACACAAAGGTAGACAAGAAGATGAGTGAAGAGAATCAATGGAGTTTTGACCAGGGTAAGAGTGAAACAGAATGAGTAATGGTAGACAGGAATATGAAAGATTACAGAGACTGAATACATCTGCGTAAGCCATTGACAACGACTTTGAGCCATGTCACCTATTGTCTCCAGTCATTGATTCTTGGAGTCCCGACGGCCCCAACCCGGAAGTCTGCATCTCCCTACCTGACTTAGTTTAACTGTCAAGCATTTCATGGATTGATGAGGCCATGTTTTTGTTTGGCCACCACTTACTCTATTCCAACCTGCACATATATCAGCTAGTAATGCCCGTCGGGGGAGGCGATGGTTAGGCATGCGCAGCACGTGACCTAGCCATCATGTGGTGAGGTAACTGAGACGTTGTCTGCACTAGGACAGGTGTGTATTCATTAAGTTCCCCACTATTCTCACTGTTATTGCATGTAACTTTGAAATGACGCTGTGTGTGTTTCTTTCACAGAGCAGCAGACACTAATGCTAAGAATTAATGGTTTAATACTATTGCTCACATATTGCGTAAAATCGTTTTCAGTTGTATATTCACTCATGTTTTTCCATGTTACTGTTCTTTATGCCTTACATTTATGCTTATTATAGTTATTTTAAATCTTTTTTGTCGACATTCGTGCGTTACTTGGAGTGTGCGACTTGAATTACTATTTGTACCTCTGTGTAACGTTCTATCTTGACTGCTGTGAAACTTTGCGTAATGCTTTCTTACTACTCATTTATTATATCAGTAGTTAAAACAAATTTGTAGAAATTCGGTATCCTATTGATTCTTTTTCTTATTCCTTCACGTTCCCAGTGGAACATAGGGCTTCAAGCTAGTGGCTTGAAGTTTCTGTAGCAGAGTTTATTTTTACGGGATGGGGTTGCTGGCCTCATACCCAACCTTCCCTCTTTACCAGTCTTATTACTGGCTTAGCGAGGTAAAGGAGTGCGTCGGCCGGGGATCGAACCCCGGACCATGTGCATTGTCGGCGAGCGTCCCAACCGCTGTGCCACCGACGCACGCTGTTGATTAGTTACTTTTTATTCCTGTAAAAGTTTTGTGAATTTTTCCCATATTAGTTTTGTTCTTGGTTTCCCATTTTTTGCTTACAGGATCAAGTGCGTATGGAGAAAGTGAGTCAAAGGACAAGTGAAATGGAAGCCTTAAGAAATAATACAATATTATTAGAAGAAATGATTAGTACATATATGCTTGGTGAAAGTACAGAGGCTGAATTAGAATTAATGAGTGTAAGTCAATCAGTCTATCTGTCTGTCCGTATTTCTTTTCGCCTTCGATTAAAAGCTTTAAGTATGTCAGCTGTGTCTATCTCTGGTTCAGTGGAAGGTTGCTCGGCAGCAACGTGGGTTGGTCCGGGTTTCGATTCCCGGTGGACTCACTAGTCATAAACCTCTCCTAGACTGTAGAATTTCCGGAGAAGTGATGAGATTGTGTGCGTGTTTGTGAGGCTACGAACCTTACTTGAAGGTCTGTGTTTCATCTAGAATGCTAAGGAATAAAGAATACTGTCAGCTATAATTCATTCTTCTATTGTTAATATGGAACTATTTTCTTTAGAAAAGATTTAAGTTTGATTTCATCACGATCCAGGTGGAGTATTGTGCAGCTATTTTTGTCCCTTTTTGGAATTCTTCAGGCTTTCGCAGCGATAACTCTACCAAGGGTTGAACCCAGTACTTTCGAGTTCCAAAGGAATGTTATCGACTATTTAGCCACTGGGATGGCTTATGAATTATTATCCTTACTGTTAATTGTCGATTCGAGGCGCTACCGTCAGCTAATGTGATCGGCAAGTGTTTTTCCTCACACCCGATATCGTAGGCCTCACTGGTGGTCCTTATTTTTCCCTACATACCTTCAGGCAGCTACATCCTGTAGGGAAACACCAGTAAGTAATAGATTAATTTCCAGGTGTGGGTTGACTGATTGATTGCAAATAAGTTCACGGATTGACATCAGTTAGGGAGGACCATTGTAAACCTACAGGAAATATTGGACAGTTGTCTCTTCCCATCGGGGGACTCTTCAACTGTGCACACCCGTGACCGCACCGGGGCATCGTAGTCAGGGTCGTCAAGTTATGACACGAGGATGTTATCATTCAGCCACTGGAATGGAATTCAATGGCCGATTTGAGGTATGTAGCGTTACTAACAGTCATTATTTTGGCGGTAAGTGTCCCTCCTCTCACCCTGGGGCATGGTTGATTCCACCTATTTCACATCAGTGTTTCAAACATACATAAATACACACATGCGCACTTGAAAATTCAATAATTAACTTTCTTTTTTCATTATTTTCATTTTTTGCTTTTTTTATTGTGATTGTGTATAGGAATTGGTCGAAAATATCCGTAAAGCACGTCCATTATTATACAGTTTCTCTTTAACCCATGAAGAACAAGATATGGAGACATTAAGTGAGCTGGTTTATCTTTTTTATGGCCTTTTTGTGTATATTATATTTCAAGCGTCTTTTCATGACGTTTTTCGATGGTATTTCCTACTTCATGTTGAAGGTAGAGCTCTCTCGCCTCTTGTTGTTCACACTTTTTGGTGTAGTCGGGAAAATACGACTTAGTAGATGGAGCGCTATGCGAACCAAACCAACCAAGAGCCGATTGCTCTTGCACTGAGGAGGAGGTCGTCGAATGACATCGCGCGTCAGGTCATTGGTCGAGTGGAATCTGAATGAGAAGCCACGAGTGGGGGTGGTCGGTGCGAGGGTGACATGGAGGAGATCATGCGATGAGGAGATGAGAGAATATGGGTGTTATATCTGCGCCGCTAATTGTTATAATAGCAATGAACTCGACTGGTACGCTAATGCGCCTATTCGTTCGTTGTACCTTCCGCTTCACTGAGCCACACAAATACCAAAAGACAAAGGCTGGCCTGTGACTGTAAGATACTATATATTTTATTAGGAAACAACACATCATATTTGTACACTTTCTTTACCACAATAAAGTTGGCTCACAGCCGTGGGAATGGATTGTCCTTATTCTTCGGCAATAGCTATTCTGACTGGTTGGCGATCCGACAAAGACCAAGGTGAGACAAAAGAATGATGATTTGGTTACACAATAAATACAATATGCGTGAGAAAGGATAATATACTATTTTAGGCTGGTTCCTATCAATGGGCAATCGTGAACTCAACTGAAGAGGACAGCACCAAATAGAACAAAGTGGAGATGGGTTGTTGGAACCGTATGCTCCACTTGGAACGCAAGGGAATAATAATAATAAATGCTAACCTAATGTGCCAGCGGAAACTACTCCGCTAGTCACTACAGCAAATGTCTGATGCTTATAACCAAACAGGCGGACAAGTACTACAAAACCTTGATTCTAAATCTATGGCGGTGTACATGGGCTTTAGAATCTGAAAAGATCGAATGGCGTGTGACCGTTTCTCAGAAAGTTAAGCCATATATCTACGAATCATATTTCCACACATTAACTCCATTGTGATTGGTTGGTGATTTTCTCAAAGTTAAGCTTTGCTATTGTTTTTTTTCTCATGACTCTGATTCGGGACATGAACACTGACGTAAATTGTTGTCTACAATTTTGGCTTGTTCGCAGTCAGCTCTCACCACACTAGAATGTCATGGTTTTTCCTATGTGTGTTACTATTGTTTCTCCGTCAGATTGAATTGGTGCACTTCTCTGCAAAGTTCTTGTGTTGATAGTCAGTCAGTCAGTCAGTCGGGGACACAAGGTGCTAGTTTCATCCTCAACCTTCCATCTTTTTTTTCTGACCAGTAAACTATGCTAGAGGTTTTTCAGTTTATTTGTCGAATTGATTTATATTAAATATTCCTATAGTATAATTTAGAACAACACATTTAAGCGAACAATATTGTGCTTTCAATTAGATCTCATCAGGCTTAACTCTAATATACCTACATAACTTTACAAATATTAATATTCAAATATAAACCAATCATGGTGTTTTCTGTATGAGATAATAAGATGGTGAATATAAATTGTACAATTAATCATAATAGTAATAATAATGGTCTTATCAATAATAAGGAAGAAAAAGTGAGGCAATATGTAATAACACGAATAATGAAAAACAGCACGATTGAACAAACAAATGTCCAGGTAGAAGTAGTCGATAAAGGCTAGTAAAAACAAATGAACCGATTACGTAATGCTAGATTGTAAGGGAAGTAAATGAAACACGTTTTTAATGAAGATGTGATAAGATTAAGGGATGATAAGAGAGGAGGGGTTGAAAATTTAAGTAAGGGGTGGTGTAGAAGTCATCAGTTGGTTATGTCTTAATAGACCAAGGGAGGGATAATGGCTGTACGAACTTCTTTTGAATGCATAGTTTAGGTTTAATAGTTCGAATGCCTATCGCCTCAGCTGTGTGCGTGCAGTAGACGAATACGAAGTCTATTGGAAAGATTCGGTGAGATACGATGAATTACTTTGAAGGCTATCATTTTCTCGATTACATGACCACCACCAATTAAGTGTGACAAAATTGAGCTACGGATTGTTTTTGTCTGTCCTTTGCCAAACCACGATGATGGGAGATGTTCACTAACACATTGGTTGGCTAAGCTGTCTAGTAGTACGCCCAATATAAGTGTCACCGCAGGTGCAGTTGAATTGATAAATGCACATAGATGTGGCAAAACTATCTAGCTTATCCTTCGTTTGCGTCCCAATCACTTGTCGGCTAGAGAATGACAAACATAGGTGTGCTGCGTAAAACGTTCTTCGTATACACTCCTGGAAAGTCTCTGGAATAAAATCTCACTTGATAAGTCACCATTAAATTGTAACTTAAAACATAGAGATTTCTTACGTGCAGTCAGAGTCTCAGGTTTTCTCTCTGATGTTTTCATATGTTTCTTTATGAAACTACTCGGATAGCCCATCTCCGTCAAGGAATCGTGAATATATTCAAATTCCTTTTGTAAGAGGTCATCCGTACATATCTTTCTTGCTCTGGTTTATATTTTAATATTTATTTGTAAAGTTATGTAGGTATATTAGAGTGAAGCCTGATGAGATTTAATTGAAAGCACAATATTGTTCGCTTAAATGTATTGTTCTGAATTGATTTATCACACTTTTCATTTTGGTCAACAGTGTGTTAACTAACCTCTTTCCGATTATCAAGAAAAAAAATCTTTTTTAAATTTTAGCTGAAATTGGTCGAATCTGTGATCGAGCAAGTGAAGTGATATCAAATTATGAACAGAAGGTAAAAGTAGGTAACGTCAAATCAACACCACCACCATCATCGTCAGCATCAACATCATCACCATCTAAGGATGCAATCAATGATGGCTCATCGTCATCATCAACATCAACAAGCGGCAGTGGCAGCAGCAACAGCACCAGTCGAATTCCTGATCTCCTTACCCAAGATTTAATGAATTTAGGCTTAGATGATCCAATTAAACCTTCTACATCGTCATCATCATCATCTTCCTCGTCATCGTTGACAGTATCCTCAGCGGATGTCTTAATGTTATTGTCTAATAATAGTAGTAATATATCATTGACTCCAACTGTTGTCAGCAGTACAAATGGATCTTCAACTGGGACTTATGGTGGTGGTGCTAATCAACTCATTCCGTCGTCAATGAATCAAATTTCATTGATTACTAATAATCATAATCCGTGGGCATAAATCGAATTATGAAGATCTTGAGGATATCTTTTCTACACTGACTAGTAATAACAACGTTTCAACAAATGGTAAGTTAATCATCTCTTTTTTTTCTCTTCGAGTTGGGGGGGGGGGAAAGGGTTGTATTTTGTGGTTTTTTCTTTGCATAGTTTTTACAGTAGGGTGGTAGGTGGTGATAGCTCACCACCATCTCGCGATGTACACTGAATTGTTGTTTTTGTTAGATGGTTGGAGGTGGTAGTCTGCAGGAAGTCCTGTCTCATGTAGGCTTCGTGTTTGTTGTTGACACTTGTCATAGCAAGGAGTGTATCTACTATCTTGTAGGAAGTGTGCTTTTGGAAGTGTGTGGGCGGTTGTTACTTCCCGGCTGCCCACACTGTAGAAGTTGATTGATTCTTCGGGAACCTGAAACAGAAAGTGTTGCGTGACCCAGAGCCCAGGGGACAACTGCTTGAGGCCAGTCACACGCGGCCTATTATTGTTTGTTCTTTCTTGTTTGGTGTGTCTCAGTAGCATATTTATCACTTCTGCCTCGTGACACGACAGCAGGAAGCGTGGTCGTTATTAATCTGGGCCCTGACCGATCCAGCATGATATTTTTTGAATTTGTTTGAATCATAGTATTGGATTGGGTAACTGCTTTTTGTCTAACCGCTATCCAAACAACCTTTCTGGCATGGTAGGACCTCAAGCGACATAAGTCTCAGCCAGTATAGCTTGTTGGGTCATTGCGGTGTTCAAGCCCGATCACCACGTGAAGTTAGCAGCTTTTGGTCGGGACCATCTTGTAGGAAGGAATTCATGTGCCTTCTGAGATTCGAATATGTGTCACCCACAATGTGGGGCTTCAGTCAGAGACATTAACCCCCCCCACCCCCAACAAAGATCTGTTCGGGCGCGTGAATTGACCTCTTGTAGGACAGTCACTGGGTAGTAAGTAGTAACTCATCTGTCATGCGTGTCTAGTCCTTGGTGTTTCGTGCTGACTGAATTCTATCCGCCAATAGTCAAGATTTCAGTGTTGGGCATCATACTAGGCCAATCGCCTTCAACTATCTAACAATACTTAATAGTCTTTATCTTGATGAAGAGAAGACATGCATAATTTCGTCTTTCTTACATAAAGAGGTTATTGGTATAAAAAAATTAAACGATTAGGCAGATGATATACAAGGATAGGCTTTCATTACTTTATGAATTCAGTGTGGCGATTCACAGCAGTGTTAACACAAAGAAAACTAATGTTAATTGTGATTGCTTCTATTGATTGGACACTAGTCAGTAACTAGTGTGATGTGTCTCGTCCTTTGTGTGGTGCAGACTGAATTCTATCAGTCAGTCAAGTTTGCAATGTGGCCAGCATTCTAGGTAGCTCGCCATCACGGTGCACATTGATTTGATGAAATTAGATGGTTGAAGGCAATCGGCAGGAAGCCTTGGACCTAGGTCTAGTGCTAGTTGGCACTTGTCAGCAAGGCGTATCTGCAACGACCTTGAAGAAACAATTCGTGTCCCTCCTGAGATTCAAACCCGCCTCAGCCAGTGCTGTCTGCAGTCAGAGACGTTATCACTGAGTTATTCGGGCTCGCAAATGACCTCCTGTAGGACTGTGTATAGTTTCAGAGACTTGTTGTAGGTCACCTCACAAGCATTTCCGAAATGGCTCCAAACTTTTACCAACATTTGCTGCCTTCTCTGACTCCATACTGAAGATCAGAGATGGTGGACCAGCCAGAAAAGATGGTCATGCAGACATTCTATTGCCCAAGGAATATGCAGAAGAAAGTGTAGGTGGATTAAACAACCTCTGAGGCGACTGTCGAGTGACATAACACACCAGGTCTTCGATAGACGGCACTCGAATGGGAAACGACGGCTTTGGTGGGAGTTTAATGCTAACATGAAATCAAAATATGATTAGGGGGGAATGAAAGGTTCTGGGTAGTCATAAATTCAGCTAAAAGTGATACGAGAGACAGAGAGAGAGAGAGAGAGAGAGAGGAGAAGAACCAAGCGAACTGGATATATGCTATTGTGAAGCCCCCTAATCTCAACCGCAAATCTTATCCCCATGACGCATAACTCCCACTGCCAGCCGTGAACGATATAAGGTACGATATTGACACTCCTATGAAAAGACTAGTTATTCTTGGAACATTTAAATGAAAGACATAACTTGTTGAATATTTTTCCATTCGTATTTCAGGATGATTTTACTTTGACTGGCATATTCAAGTGTTGGTTCTCCTCGATCACGGAGAATTATCTCCTCGGCTGTTGACTCTCACTGATACCCATTTACTCTTAATATGGGTGTAATGCTCCACGTGTAAAGAGATGTAGTTGATTGGTATAAGCGCCTGACTTTCAGATGGATTCTTTCAGAATTTGAATCTACCGCCGTGTCTGCATCCAATCTGTGCTACTTGTTAGTAGTGTTGTCTAACTTAAAAATACAATAATTACAACTAAAGGCCTGGTACTTGGGAAACAGTTGATATATGGTATTTGCAGTGTCTTGTGTGGGGACGTCCTGAGAGAGAGTATCATTGATGCGATATTCACCTGCCTAATGTGAGATTATGCTACTTACTGGAGAATAGCGTTTATTATACAAGCGATGATGAAGTAGTAAAGAGGTCTAATGCATTGATTACTTCAGTGAATTGAGAGTTTACCCCTCATCACCTTTAAAGAGATCGATGGCGATGTACGTACTTTTAAGGCGGTTTACCATTATCCTTTGGATTCCGAATGGAATACAAAGCTTCCATAGCGCACATCTCTATTCCCTGCAGTCTTTTTTAACTGACTGACTCCATGATTTTCGATTTCTTCCTCACACTTTCTCCTTCATATCATCATCATCGGACCCATACACGACTCGTTGTTTCCTGTTTGAGTGACTGACTTAACATTTACGCTGAAAATTCGAATCTTTTTGTTCATGCTGATTGCAGAAGATTTCCGCATACATGTCTTCTGTCCACTTGCTGGTCCTTGCCTGTAGATCTTCAAGTTTGTAGAACAGTAGACATTGAATCTTCGGTGAAGTTTAAAACTTCCAGTGTCTTCCTGTCGTTCCAATATATGCCTAGACAACTTATTCAAAAGAGTCATTGAAATAACTATTTTTAGCCTATCTATTTTGTATACTTTATATCTTGTATGTTTTTTCTTTCCCTCCCCTCCCCTCCCTCGTCCCGCCTCTCTCCTCCCTTCTAGTGACATCCGTCTCATCAACACTTTATCCGACTATTTTCAATTCTGTACAAACAAAACCTTCAAAGTTAGAAGCCTCTTCCTCCGCCTCTTCGTCCTCCTGCTCAGGACGTGGACAAGCAGCCAATTCTAATTCTAAAGTTTTCAGTGAATTAGATAACCTTAGCCGTCAAATGCTTCAATTGTCAAAGTAAGAAAGATGAACTTTATTTTATAAATACACCCACGTTTTTGCATCACTTGCAAAGTTTTATTTTTTTAAATTTTTTTCTTCTCGTGTGGTTTTATTTCAGAATTGACGTGTCATTAGTTCCATCAGGGATAAGATTTTATTTTGATAAATCACACGGTGTTATACAGTAAGTAATATTTACTGATGACCACACTTCGAGCACAAAATATTGCCGCTTCTAATCATATCAAGTTACACAAGTTTTTACTTCATTTATATACATGAGTGGAATTGATGATTAGACATTTGAATAGAAATCAATATAGGATAATGTACAAAAAAGACTATATCATTTTACGAAGGGTATTAAATGCTGTGAGTAGGGCTTGTGGTGTGCCATTGCTTGAGCTCGCCAATACTATAGTCGAGAGACACATGAATTCCTGTACAAAATGGGCAAAGGCCGTACTGTCAGACCCTCTGCTCCCCTTTTATTCACAACTATCCCCTTGTATCTCATCAGGTAGAACGAGAAGTCAATATAAGAAATTATATGCTCGTACCACTAAGTACAAAAATTCTACAATACCGTATTTAGCCTGTATTTCATGTGATGGAGACACTGTAAGACGTGAAACATATAAGTTACTTTGTAATTAGCAAAGTGAATCGACCCTTTCATCGTTCATCTTTCTGTAAATTTATGGTATCACCCTTTCTATCGTTTAATTATAACTTTGCTATTTTATTTCAGTTGTTATTACTATTATTACTACAATTTTATACTTTATGCATGTTTTTCTCTTTGTCGCATACAGTAATTTGCTAAATAGCTGCTATAACAACGTTTCGTTATTATTATTATTACGTAATGCTTATTTTTCATTTTGTTTTTTTTTTTTGTCATTTTTGAGTAAATTAGATGCAACATTGTACTGAATGCTAAAAATTCCTTGCTATATCATTAGTACTGTTTTTGGAATAAAGCAAAATTATTATTATTATTCAGAAATAATAATATGAGTGTGATTGATCAAATACAATCAGATAAAAAACTTGTTAGAATGTTATAATGTACGTGAATTGAAATAGAATTTTAGGATTATTTAGTATCCTCCTGTGATTTGACTGACTGGTGGTAATAATATCTTCCATGCATATCTGTGGTATTTGTATTGAGTCACTTCTGTTGCATGTGTTGGGTGTAGACTCGATGAACAAGAATTCAGTAATCAACCTCTCACTCTCTCTCCCCACCTACCCACTTCTTAGAATTTTTACCCTCTCCTACCGACACTGTTGTGTGATCGTGTGTTAGTGCATGCAGTGCAATCGCTGAGCTTTTTCTAAATTACTTATCTGTCTTCTCGGGGTCAACCATTCTTACCTTACCGAAATGCTTATGTTCTGTCAGATAATCTGACTACCCCTGACCTACTAGTTTGACCTATGTAGTTGACCTAACTCACAGTCATTGCAAGGTGTCAATGTCCAGGTCTAACTACCCTGGACTTAACGCTGTTCTTAGAAGACTTTTAGAAACTATTGTCAATAACCAACGCGAAAAACCAGAACACAAATTGGTGATTCAAGAATCCTATATTCTTGCGCCAATACAGAACCAACCGCAAGGTTATTGTACACAAAGTCTAAGGATAAATGTTATAACAATTAATCACAATAATACTTCTGATAGTTTTTCTCTGTCTTCTAGCAAGCAGCGAACGATAGAACGATGACTGCACTATCGATGACCCCCGCCAAAATGTGGAGTTGGGTTTGAGCAAACAACCGTTAAATTGATCGTTCATTCTTCAACTACTTTGACACAAGGCATATTGTATAGTATATTATTTTGTTTAATTGGGTCCACCGGGCACTTTAGCCTACAAAGATTGTCCGAGCTGAGTGAGTTTGTAGTAGATGTAAAGCATAGTAGAGCAGATGTGAGTCATAACTTAATCCCTTAAATAATTTCAGTTATAAATGTCAAGTCAATTGATATTGTTATAAGCGCTAATTTGTGCTCGAAACGTGGTCATCAGTTCATATTACTGTATAACATACTGTGTGATTTATCAAAATAAAATCTTATCCATAATGGAGTTATACTCTACCACCACAGCGCCCAAGTTTTATACTTATATCAGTGACATGTCATTAGTGTATGGAATTGTTTTTTTGATAAAGATGCTGACTTGAATGTAGTTCACTGAGTTCCTTAAAAGTTAAGTTAAAGAAAAAAAAGATTTTCGCTTGTTTAGCCTACCATTTTTAATAATCTGACCTTTTTTATTTGTTCCTCCCGCATTCCGAGTGGAGCATAGGCCGACTTCAAGCTAGGGGCTTAAAGTTTCGGTAAACAGTGGTGTTTGTTCATTTTTACGGGATGATGGGGTTGCTAGCCCCAACTAGCCCAACCTTCCTTCTTTACCAGCTTTCTTATTACTGGCTTAGCGAAGTAAAGATGGAGTGGTTGGTATTAGATGGTTGGAGGCAATCGGTAGGAAGCCTTACTTGGCCTAGGTTTCGCGCTAGTTGGCACTCATCAGCAAGGCGTATCTGCAACCTGGAAGGAACTGATGTCCCTTCTGAGATTCGAACCCGCGTCACCCAGTGCTGCAGTCAGAGACGTTACCACTGAGCTATTCAGGCTTGCGACTGACCTCCTGTAGGACTGTATTGGATATTTTTGAATGCACACTAGTGTGCCTCCAACCATCTAATACCAATAATTCACAGTGCACCGTAATGGCGAGCCACCTAGCATGGTGGCCATATTGCAAACATGACTGATAGAATTCAGTCTGCACCGAAGATAGGACTAGACGCATTACACTAGTTACTGACTAGTGTGCAATCAAAAAAGATGGAGTGTGTTGGCGGCTGGGGATTGAACCCCCGGTAGGTGTGCACTGATGAAGAGTCGCAAACTAGACGACGGGCGAAACAGCTGTCCACTACTCCCTAGTGGGTTTTTCAATGGTTCTCTAACCAGCTCATGATGAAATCTTGTAACCAATAAATTCTTCGTCTTCCCCAGGCTCTACAATTATAAATCCATTAATTTAAGCATACGATGGCCAGCTAGTAAAAGCAAATTATAATCATATCAGAAAGTGTATTGTGGAACGAGTATAAGTAAGATAGGATGGGATAATAGTCAGGTAGTTTTGAATATTCATGTTCAGTGAGAACATGAGCTAGAATGAGCTGAAATAATTTAATGATGCATATATATATATATATACTATTGATGAACGATTATCAAATAATAATAATGAATTTAGTGAAGTGAAATGAACAGGATTTTGTAAATATGATAACAAGTTAGAAAGGCATTACTTAAATCTAAGGTAATAGAAATCATAAGAAAGGTTATAAAATCGGAAAAGGTCAGAAATGAACTTTTTTGATTGGACACTAGTAAGTAACTAGTGTGGCGTGTCTAATCCTTTGTGTGGTGCAGACTGAATTCTATCAGTCAGTTCGGTTTTGCAATGTGGCCACCATCAGTGTGCACCGTGATGGCGAACTACATAGAATGGTGGCCACATCGCAAACTTGACTGACTGAGAGAATTCAGTCTGCACCAAAGGAACTACTAGACACGCCACACTAGTTACTTACTAGTGTCCAATCAAAATACCCACTACAGTCCTACAGGAGGTCAATCGCGAGCCAGCCCGAATAGCTCAGTGGTACCGTCTCTGACTGCAGGCGGCACTGGGTGACGCGGGTTCGGGTCTCAGAAGGGACATGAGTTCCTTCAAGGTAGTTGCAGATACGCCTTGCTGACTGACTGGTGATTGCCAACTAGCACGAAACCTAGGTCAAGTAAGGCTTCCTGCCGATTGCCTCGTCAAATGAACGTTTATCAATCAAAGGAAAAGAAGAAGAAAAGAAAAAAAAGTGTGATAGAAATTTAAAGTGCTAATGTTTATGGAGCGCGGGGGGGGGGGGTAACGCTGGATACCATCGATAAGAAACCTTTGAATCTTAAGTTAAGTTACAAAGGGGGAATTTTGAGCTGACATTCTAAAATTTCTGCTTAATAGAGTAGTAGAGAGAATATTTCCTGCAGTTAAACTAGTACTCAACTTCTCAACTAAACCACTACTCACACAACGATTCAATGATAAATTGCCAAAGATGACCTCGTCAATGTGTATCTATGAATTCAACTGCTCGTGTGGAGCTAGTTACTTTGGCCGTACTCATAGGGTTTTATCCATGCGCACACGTGAACATATACCTGCATGGTTGAGTAAAGGGGTAACCGAATGTGTGAATAGTGCAGTCTTAGTCCACTTGGTAGATAATGGACATTCGTTAAAACCTGAGCAGGCGTTCTCAGTTATTTACCGTCTTCCTGGTAGTCTATTTAGGGGAGCTCGACTACCTCTTTTATCAGTAGTTGAAGCGTTAGCAATCAGTACCAGAAGACGTGGTCTCTGTCAACAGAAGAAGTATTTCCAAGGTCAAGGCATTATTATTATTGAAATGCACTATAAGTGTCCGGTTTATTTTCAACAAGCGTGCCGTCAAATTTAAAGTTTACATTCATGGTACATCTTACTTACTTCATTGAATTCAGTAATTATTGTACTCCTATCAGAACCATTATCTCTTCTTTTGTTTGTTTTGTTTCGAAAACACAGAACCAATGCTTTGGCGGACACCAATCTCTCTAGACTTCTTGGCAATGAGTCAACTGTATCCTGTACCACAACAACAACAGCAGCAACAACACCACTGACAAAGTCGCCAACACCTACTAATCATCATGTTGTTATCGATAGTGATAGTCATAATAATAATGATGACATCAATCCTACTAACAACAATAATAATGATATTAGTAGCCAAAATCTAGTCAGTGCAATCAAAACTACGCCAGTTCATCATCCTTCTCCTCCTCCTAAAGCTGATGTCTCCTTAAATCAAAGTCATAAAAGCAGTAGTAGTAGTATTGATTTAAAATCAATCAATATTCAGCTATCGTCAATTCTACCGCATCCAGTGTACAGTACACCAGTAATTCTTTATCCTGTCAATTGTCATCGTGATGCTGATGATGACAACGACGTTGGCGATACTGATAACTCCCACGCGCCAGATAAAGATAATAGTATACAATTAGCATTACACTATGCACAGAATCGACCACATCCTGAAGTGATGGTATTTGTCGCGGTTATCTCTAGTCGAAATTCTCTACCGATTACTGAAATCAATGTAAGATTTGCTGTGGAAAAAGTAAGTTAAGTTTATTCGTATTTGTATTTGCATTTTATTAACCTCTTTTCAGGCCTTATTCATTTTCCTCTTTAGATGTACAATCGCATTTGTATACAATTTATGTAGCAGTGGTATTTTATTTCTACAGGTTGAGATGGTTAGCCTCATGCCTAACTTTCTGTCTTTACCAGCTTCATTATACCGGCTAAGCAGTGACGCTTAGGAGTGGCTATCGACCAAAGGACACGTGTTCTGTTCAACAGCAGTCCGCTCCGTCCTCCTTTATGGCTATGATACCTGGTCATTGACAGTGGAAGACATGAAAAAGCTAGCTAGCTGTCTTTGATCCATAGGTGCCTGCGTTCTATCTCCTGTGTGAAGTGGTATATAATAGGGTAAGCAATGCTGAGGCTAGGCATCGGTCAAGTGCTCGGTAAAGAGGGGAAATCAATAGACGAGGTTGTGAAGTTACATTGACTGAGATGGTTAGGCCATGTGTTACGTATGCCTAGTCATCGCCTTCCTCGACAATAGGCAATGTTAACTGACATAGGGTCGGGCTGGAAAAGAGCTAGATAGTGATGGTGAAACCAAAACATGGCTTCATTAGTCAATGTAATCCACAAAAGTCAGTTTAAGCCAGCCAGCCACGTAGATAGGTGTAGACCTCCTGGTTGAGGTCCTCGGGATGTTAAGAACCAATGGAGGCTGGCGACAATTGGTGATATGGCTCAAAATTGTCGTTGTCAATGGCTGGCGCAGACGCATCCACTCCTTGTGACTTATATTACCTGATGAAACTATATTGTTCTTCGATATTACTATTCCTTTTGCCTCACACCTCTGTTTACTATCTCTGTTATGCATTTCTTCTACTTTCTTCTCTTGATTTGTGTGCTACAAGGAGTGTGGCGAATTGAACTGCTGCACATCTGTGCAAAGTTCTATGTCGAAAACAGACAGACAGACATGTGGTCCGGGGTTCGATCCCCGGTCAAAGGCGTACTCCTTTACGTCGGTAAACCATTAATAAGATTGGTAAAGAGGGAAGGTGGAGCATGAGGCTAGGAACTCCATCCCGTAAAAATAAACAAACACCACTGCTACCGAGACTTCAGGCCTCTAGCTTGAAGCTGCCCTATATTCCGCTGGAAACGCAAAGGAGCAAAGAAAGTGTTTGTGACAACTCATCACCTTTGCTACTATCCTCTTTCACGAGGCGAAACACACTGTTATATAAATGCGATTGTACAGCTGAAGAGAGGGGGATGAATTCGCCGAAAGTAGGAGTATCTTCTCCGAACAATGCTTGTTTTGTTTCCACCATTATCTGGATGGGGATTATTCATGAATATTTCATTTAATACACACGGTAATACTATGAATTCCTTCGAAAAGAAATTCGAGATGACGATCGAAAGATTATTAAAATCACACGTGGAGTGATGCGTAAAATCCGAAAGCACAGGATTTTTCTGAAATACGCTACTATATCAAACATAAAATATGAAATATAATATATACATAAACCTCAATTGTGAGGTGTCTTTGGTTGAATGCCATCAAAAAGCACAGTCATTGTGTGTCAAAAGGTAAACACAGCAGAGCTATATCAAAGGTTCTCCACGTGTTATTTAAACAGCGCGCGAATGCCGGACCCAGAATAAAGGGATACGAATAAACATTGCTTAACACGTATGGGTAAATGAATAAAGCATATACAGCCGATAGTGTTCGACTATAAGAAAATAATTATTATACATCAAATAGATTAGTTATACATCAAGTGAGTTAAACTTCAATAGCAAATGCAGATATGGTTAAAAATTAACAAATACTGCTCAGTCTACTTACTAGCGATAAGTAGTATACATTTAATACAATAAAAGAATAACAAGGGATAGAGAGGAAGGGAATTAACACCCCTTCCCTCCCTTCAAAACCAGCCTGGTTTTCCCTAGTCTACCTTATAACAACATACAGAAATGGTACAATTTACTCTTGTCACATCTGCCTGCATTACTTAGCTACATATCCCTAAAAGTGGCCACCTTCCCTCAATACCTTCTAATAGGCAAACTTTACGTACATCGCGGTTGATTCTACCTCTAGGTGTCGTGATATCCATCATTCTGTCCGTCAGAGCTTGTTGTAACAGTTGTAACTAGTTGTTTCCGCCAACGATTATTAGGTGAAGGTTCTGTAATCACTAGTACCAGGTCTACCACTTGAAAGTTGCGATGTTGTTGGATCCCTTTTGGACCTGATCGTAAGATCGTTAAGTACTCCCAGCTGCAATTACATATATACTTATTTATTTATGTGTGTGTACATTGGGTTTGTCCGATAAGAATAAAAATAAGTTAGGGTTATTGTTGTCAAGATATTTTAAAAATGTGATGAATAATCAAGTTGTAACTAGAGTGGTCGGCGTGAAGATTGGTAAGAGGGTAGTGGTGATGTGTTGTCAAAAAACAACATAGTTATTAATGTTAATCATCACATAAAAGAAGTTGAATAAGCGTAATACAGTTACGTAATAAGATGAATAGTTTAATGAGTGAGTTGTGATTAGGATGCACATAGAAACAAAGGAAAACATGGAATTATTTAAGAGTTTTAAAGATAAACAAGAGTTATAAGGAGTTAGAAAACCAGCCAAACAAACAAGCACACAAAATATCAAGTCAGTAGAAATCAACACGGTTATTACCATGATGGTAGAAGTGGTTCAATCATTCTTTTTAGTAGGCATAGCTTCGGTTTCTCTAAGTGAATCGCTAAGTCTTCAGTAATGCAGTGTGGAGACAAAAGCGTATTGCATTTGGTAGGTTGTTCTTCACTTTGTAAATAGATACTTTGAAGGAGGGGGCGTTTGTTGAGATAATGACCAGTTCGACGAGATGTTCATTAGCACTCCTTATACAGCCACTATTACCTTCTTGCAGCCATGAGGGATAGTGTTCTCGAGTCCTTTCTGACAGGATACGCGTTGAACGACCAATGTACCTGACTGCTTAACAGCAACAGGTGAACTGATATATGCACATCTATTTTTTTGACAACGCAGCACCACTACCCTCTTACCAATCTTCATCCCCGCCCACCCCTTGATTAAAATCTGATTACTCATCACATTTTTGAAATGTCTTGACAACAATAACCCTAACTTATTTTTATTCTTATCGGACAAACCTAATGTACACACATACAAAAAAATAAATATATATAATGACGATTGTACAGCTAAGTGAATGAATTCGTTGCCGAAAGGAGTCTCTTCGCTGAACTACGTGTTTTGTTTTTCATCAATACGAATGTATCATCAACTGAGGTGGGTTTGTGACAAAGAATCTAACAATTTCAATTACTCGAAATCCTCCCATAAATCCCATAACAGGAATATCAATCGTCAGCTTAATACTGCTGGCTACTGAATGGATGTCTTGAGAGCTGTATATTGAGAAGTGGTGACCATTCGAGTCCACCACGTCAAGGTGATGTAGATGCGCTCACCCACGGGACTGGTACAGTAGCACTATATCACGAATTGACTGTTTCAGAATCCGCAGGTCACTGAATTCTAGACTCCCCCCCTCCAACACTCAAGTGGTTGCTTGGTCAATAAGCTTGGTTTCAAGTTCGATCCTTGACAGTGTGGTCGTTGGCGCGCACTGATCAAGAGTCCCAAACTAAGTGGGCGAAACAGCTGTCCAGTAGTGCTCCCTGATGCTTTTCAATGACCTCTGTAATGATACAGCAGTTATGACTCTCGCCGACCATGCATATGGTTCGGGGTTTGATCCCCTGCCGATGCACACCTGATATCAATGGTCGGCCCGCAAAATTTGGACTACCGATATCACATGCTGAAAATTTCATACTTGTATCAAAAATACAGTGTAGAATCAAGCTATAATAAAAAAATAATAAAATAAAAATAACTGATACTGGTGGTCTGTGAAGAAATATAACTATTTTAAGGAAGAATTACATTGGGAACACATGAGGAGGGGTTATTAGATCTGGTAGACTACAGAGAATGAATGCATTCGTGCAATTGAGAAGGATTTTGATCCGTATCACCAAAAGTTTCCAGTCATTGATTGTTAACACCTCAGGGATTCTGATCAGATAGTCTACAGTTCTCCACCTGTATACCTCAAACCAACAGTCAGACATTTCATGGATCCATATGTCAGGTTTTGATTTGACCACCACTTCTTATGTCAGCTAACAACAGGTGGTGGCTGGGGATGCCATCCTCAATTGATGTAGCTTCTTCACAACCTCATCGATTAACTTCCCTTCCTCACCTAGCACTTGCCTTACGCCTAATCTCAATATTATTCATCATATTATTGTACCACTTAACACAGAAGTTGGTAGAAGCCAAACTGCTAGGCTCTTCATGTTTTCCATAGGCATAAAGGAGGAGACAGAACAAACTGGTGAGGAGCATACATTTCTTATGCTTGATAGACGGATATTACGTCTACGTTCCGAGATGATGTATGCATTACATAATTAAACAAAGTTAAATCTTCATGAAGAACTTATCTATTAAGAAATTAAGCGTAAATTAATTCAAGTGTATACAAATGAGTGATTTATCAAATACCTAACATTTTTTGTGCATTAGAGTATGGTGTAGGAGTCTAAAAAGTGGTCTCTGTGTGTGTGTGTGGTCGACCACACTAGATGAATTCGGTTTCACAGTCTCATAGTTAACTCATATTAACTCTACGGTGATTGAATTCCAAATATTTTAAAACTACACTATAGATTTCATCACCAACCCAACAGCATTATAGATAGAAAATCATTGAAAACCACACCTGGTGTTTCGTCCTAGTTTTGGACTTTTCAGCTGTGTGCAGACATGATTTATAATACTATTTATTGAAACAAAAATTTCGTACAGATATTATGGGTACCAAGAGACGCGCCACGCGAAATATCGTAGTTTGTCTGAGGACTGACATGCTGTTCGGATGCTCAGACAAAAGCGAATGGGTTGTGTTTTAATGGAGCCACTCCCGAGTCTTTGACTTGAAGTCTGATCCAAACGGTTGAGAAGCTTTAGCAGCTACGTTCCCACGGTTTCCAGTGATCAGAACAGAATTACACGTCATTTGATTGTCTCGTATTTGGAACCATGTTTTCTCAGCTCCCCTAGGTAGGCTTGCATGTTCACCAGTCCGGTGGTAAGTGCCAGACTTTCGAATTCGCTTTTCCACTTTTATGAGGAATATCCCCGTCACGTGAAGGGAGCGAATAGGACTTACCTGATCGAGGCTATATAAGAGCATTTCGAGTGGGGGAGATCTAACTCTACCTACCGATGACCGTATCGAGTCGTTTATGTGGTTTGCGCAGGAGTTGAAGTTCATGAGTTATTGAATAGTTAACGCGTTGATTCGTAATTTTCAAGTCCTGAGCTCGATTTCTGATGGGCCCATGCGTGGGCGTTGCTGAAGAGTCGCAAACGACGACGAAACAGACGTCCAGTAGTAGTCACTCACTGGTTTTCAGTGGTTAGTTTCATCCTAGCTGAACTAGTTGTTGTGGGACACCAAGCAGTGACCTAGTAACTGGTAAGTCCAGTGTTTTAGCCAATGTTGAACTTGTTTGAGCGAATAGTTTCTAAACTCCAGAGATGGTTGTTCTTCAAACTAAACCTAATGAATAGAAAGACAGAGATGTTATCCACTGACGGCATATTGGGTAATATTATTATTATTGTATCCTTTAATTCCTACAGGAACATAGGGCTTCAGCCGTGCGTCTCCATTGCGTTCTGTTCTCTGCTAGAGTCTTCACCTGGCTCCATGTCTGCCCACACGTTTTCATCTCCTCTTCACATGACCTCCTCCAAGTCAGCCTCACGCGGACGACCAACTCGCCGCTTCCTTTTCGGTTCCCACTCAAGGGCTTGTCTAATGATGTCACTTGATGGTTTCCTCAGAGTATGTCCATTCCATCTCCATTTCCTCCTGCCTATTTGTTTCACAATCGGTTCCTGGTTGGTTCGCTCCCAGAGGTCCCTATCTCTGATCCTTTCTGGCCATCTGATATTGAGTGGTATTGAGAGAAGACAACTGTTAATGAAGGTCTGTAGTTTGTTTGAGATGCTTTTTATGACGCGCAGTGCAAGTCTCTGATCCGTATAGTAGCACTGACTTCACATTGGAGTTGAAAATCGGGATCTTATTTTTGATGCTGAGTGTTGTTGACCCCCACACAGATTTGAGAGTAGTGAGAGCTTGTCTTGCTTTTCGGATTCTTGCTTTGATATCCTCGTCAGTTCCGCCTGTAGTTGAAACGATGCTTCCAAGGTAGGTAAAGGAGGTAGTTTCTTTCAGGTTCCTCCCATTTATGCTGATTGTTGTCTATTGTTGTTGTTGCTGTTGATGGTGTTGCCCAGGAATTTTCATCACCTCTGTTTTATCTATGTTCACCTGAAGTCCTATCTTTGATGCTTCTTCTGCTAACTTGTTGCTTTTCGTTTGCATGTCTTCCAGTTTGTGGGGAATCAGACATATATCATCGGCGAAATCCAGATCCTCCAAGTTTTTTGTGTGTGTCCTTATGATTTCCTATGAAACTATTTTGTTCTTCGTTATTACTATTCCTTTATCTCACATCTCTGTTTACTGTCTATATTATGCATTTCTCTTACTTTCTTCTCTTGCTTTGTGTGCTACAAGGAGGGAGTGTGGCGCCGCACATATGTGCAAAGTTCTATGTCAAAAACAAACAGACAGACAGACTTTTTCCTGGGCTTACAATGGCCTGATGATTAGTGCCTTAGCCGCCTAGAAATGAACTTGAACCATCTACCTGGTTAGGCAAACGTTCTGTGACTGAACGTTCGACAGTCTCCTGTCATTTGTTCCTAGGCATTCCTAGGAAGGATCCTTATGTGTGTGTGGTACCTAAGAAATTTCTTCCTCTGGTGGGGCTGAATTCAAATAGTCATGGTAATAAGGGAAACTAGTAAAGCATCATAGTCAACGAACCGTGATCAGTGGTGTTATGTTAGATAATTTGATGAGGCAGTCAGTAAGAAAATCCGTCCTACCGTCACCTACTTAATTTTTGTACGTATTTTTGGCATTCATCAACAAGACATATCTACTGCCATGTAGCTTGGCATATTATTATTATCTCCTTGGGTTCCGAGTGGAACATTTGGTTACTCTGTTCTCTGCAGTCCCCTTCAGCTGACTTCACGTGCGCCATTAAACTCTCATGTCTTCCTCATACGATTTTTTCGACGTCACTCCCGTTTGGGTTCCACCCAAGGTTACACCTGACGCGTGATGTCACTCACCGGTCTCTTCAGTTTTTTTCCCTTCACGTCCCCCGGTGGAACATAGGGCTTCAACCTAGTGGCTTGAGGTTCTGTGTAGCAGTGTTTACCTTACAGGATGGGATTGCTAGCCTCATGCCCAACCCTTCCTCTTCACCAGCATTATTTCTGGCTTGGCGAGGTGAAGGAGTGCGTCGGCCGGGGTTTCGAACCCTGGACCATGTGCATGATCGGCGAGCGTCCTAACCGCTATACCACCGACGCAGTGCGTGTGTCCAATTCATTTCCATTTTCTTCTTCATATCTGTTGTGTGATAGGTCCTAGATTAGTACGTTCTCAGAGTTTCTTGTCGCTGATTCGTTCTGACTGGCCATCTGGTCTTCAGCATACGGCCTGTTTTCACGACGCTCCAAGAACTGACTTGAGATTGGTGTTGAACAACCAAATGTTTTTTCTTTTTTGTATCCCGAGTTTTGCAGGTTTCCAACATGATTTCAGAGTGATGAAGGTATGTCCCTTGCTTTTCTGATTCCAGCTTTGACATCTATATCCGCGCCTCCGCCTGTAACTGAAAGGATGCCGCCTAAATAAGTGCAGGAAGTCACCTCTTTGAAATTTCTCCCGTTGATAGTGATTGGTGTTGGCTGGTTGGTTATCTTCATCACCTCTGTCTTATGTATGTTCACCTAGAGTCTTGTTTTCTCTGTCAGCTTCTTCTGCGAACTTGTTGGTTCTTTTCAGCTAGAGTTTTCTAGCCTATCCTAAGCATGGGAACAGAGGGAAGGTTGGGTGTGTGCGTGTTTGCGGCTAGTGATCTCCTAATCCGAAAAATCAATTCAGTCACTACAGAATCTTCAGAACACAACAAAAAGGCTTGATATATGGCATATCGTAATGATGCTTAGGTTGACGCGTTTTCTCCAAGAACACTGGCAGCTAATAGTGACGATAGGGCAGTGAACAAGTGGCTATAACCCCCCCCCCCAGCTAACGTTGACCCAGGATTTTAGGACCGGACAGCTGATTATGAACTTTATTCACTAATGTTGTGGTGAGAAATGGTTGCTAGCCAAATTGGTTGACAGTAATTGAGGTCAATGTTAGTCATGTGAAAACAAGGCCAAGATGGACAGGCGGACACAGTTAACATATAGATGAACTGACACAGCCACAAGAGATGCAAGGTTAACTTTGTGTGAGAAACAACCAATCAACAGACGGTTTCTTCTACTAATATTAACCGAAAATAATGTACATCAAAATCTATAAATGTTGATTTTCCGTAATAAAGGTTCTGTTGCCTGGCCCTTGTCTTCTGTTATTACAATGTTAGTATGTCATGCTTTTTTACTCTTCGCTGCTTATTGTTTACAAGCATTTGAATTATATTTTGCCTTATTGTTTTTTTAATGTGTTATAGCCTTGTAGAATTCGACAACTATCAGCCTCTGGTCAAAATTTGCCAGCCTATTCGCCTTTTCTACCGAGTGCTTCAATAAGTCAAATAGTATTAATTCATAATCCATCAAATTTGGTAAGCAATTGTTTTATATTATTGTTATAATTGTTTATTCGCTTGGGTTCCAAGTGGAACTTAGGGCTTCCACGACACATCCCCACTATGTTCTATTTTCTGCTATCTTCTTCAGCTGGCTGGGTCCACGACTGCCCATACTCTCCCATCTCCTCCAAATCAGATGATTTCCTCCATGTCACCCTCCCACTGATGACCCACTCGTCGCTTCCTGTCGATATTCCACTGGAGCGATGGCTTGCATTGTGCGCGATGTCATTCGACGGCCTCCTCAACGTATACCCAATCCATCTATCTCCATTTTCTCCTACATATTTGTTGAGCAATTGGCTCTTGCCTGTTAGTTTGTTCCACTGCGGAGTTTCTTGTTGCTAATTCCTTCTGGCCGGCTGGTCAGCTGGCCATTTCATCTTCAGTATGGATCCAGCCAGCACAGTGGGCAGGTGTTGATAAATGTCTGCAGTAACTTGTTGGAAATCTTCTTCTGACCCTTATAGAAGAAGTAACTGACTTCACATTTGTGTTGGAAATCCGAATCTTGTTCTTTATGATGAGACGGAGTGCAGAAGATTTGCAAACTGGTTTCAGGTTGACGAAGGCGTATCTTGCCTTTCCGATTCTGGCTGGCTGGCTGGCTGTCATCTGTTGTTGAAACGATGCTTGCTAAGTAAGTGATAGGAGTAACCTGTGTCAAATCTCTCCCTTTCATGGTGATTGCTGCTGCCAGTTAGTTATCTTCATCACCTCCGTCTTCTCTGTGTCCACCAGGAGTCCTGTCTCCGCCGACTGCTTCTCCAGTCAGTTTGTTGGTTCTCGCCTGTAAGTCTTCGAGTTTGTGTGACATTAGACATAAATCATTCGCCTCAAAATCCAGGTCTCCTAGAGTCTTCTTATCGGTGGTCCAGCGTATTCCTGTCTCTTCGCTCCCCAATCACAGTCTAACTCATAATCCAGTCCACCACAATTAAGGATATCATTGATGATAATAGGTAGCCAGCTTGTGACTTAAAACGTTTCACTGAGTTTTCCGGTGTGAATCACTTTATATATGTGGCATTATCATAAAGCTGGTGAAAGAGGTTGATAGAGAGGTGACTAGAGGGACACGCTGTAGTGTTGACGCAGTTTACAAATTACTTCTCGATCAACGCTGTCTGTTGAAGGCCTTTTCGAAGTCGATGATGTTGAGGTAGATGGAGGTTTAGATATGATGGAGAAGATTTGTAGCTCAGGTGGATGATTTTGATGTGTTTGTGTTCTCTGAGCTGGATAGTTAATTTGCGAAGCTTTCATTGCCCTACTCACTAGGGAACATCTTCAGCGCATACTTCAGTTTGTTGAAGTGAGCTTTTAGATTTCTTCACGAGTTTATTAATCATCTCTCCTGGTTGTTTTCGTGTTTTCACACCTTCTAGGCTACTTGTTTTGGAACTGATTGTTTTTTTGACTTGAACTTTGACCCTTTGTGTGTGTGAGGTTTCTTTCTTATCGGTTGATAAATTTTGTCAATCTCGATGTGTCTATTGACTGATGATTCACTGGAATGCGAAGGTTCTAAAAATTCTCTAGCATTCTTGTTGTTTCCTCTGTCTAATATTTGAACGCTGGTTGTCCCAGTCGAATTGATGTCCGTGGTTGTCTGTATGTAGTGATATGAGGGAGTGGATGCCATGTCTTTTGACGGTTAGCTTATGATCGTGGATACGAAGACGAAGGGGACATGCACTTTTGGCCAATGTAGTGTTTTTCGCAGTTGTTACAATTTATTTTGTAGATGATGTTGGTTTTATCTTCTTTCGCTGTTGAGTCTTTCGGTTGACATAGAGCCAGCTGAGTAAAATGATTTTGTTGGTTTGTGTGCCATGTCAATTCCTAAAGGTTTGACGAGTCTTGCAGTTTGACCGCCATTCTATGCTTTGTCCTATGAAGATGATGCTTAGAGTTACAATTTTATTAACATATGATTTGCCTTTCCTGAATCCAACTGACATACATATATATATTTGCAATTGATAGTGTTGTCTGAGCTGGTTGGTTTAGTTGCGGAGCTTAGAGAACACTGTTGATTGCAAATCATCCACCTGAGCTATAAATCTTCTCTAATAGACATATGTATATATATAAATTATGTATCACAGGGTCTACTCTACTCTAACAAACAATTTTACAAAGTGTGATCGATTTTTCTTTTCATGTGTTGATGAAAATGTGGAAACAAAAAAGAAACAAAACAAAAATTCAAGCGGTCGAGTGATTTTCTCTCTGTATACTTACTCATAATGTCATGATTATATATCATGTTCACTTCCCAGTTATGTTATGCTAACTAAAGAGGTCCTCTGTAGGCATGTGTGAAGCACATATAGGTGGATTTATGAGTGCTTGTCTGCGTGCGTGTATATAAGTGTACTAGAGTATTTTTGAAAAGAATTAGGCAACACTAGAATGTTAAATGCGGTGCGTCGGTGGCACAGCGGTTAGGATGCTCGCTGACTATGCACATGGTCCGGGGTTCGATCCCCTGCCAACGAGGCACTCCTTTACCTCACTAAGCCAGAAATAAAGCTGGTGAAGAGGAAAGGTTGGGCATGAGGCTAGCAACCCCATCCTGTAGAAATAAACACTGCTACAGAAACTGCAAGCCACTAATTTGGAGCCCTATGTTCCACTGGGGAACGTGAAGGAATAAAAAAAGAATGTTAAGTGTGTAATAAAGAGTTTAGTTAATAACAGGATTCTGAAGGATGGAGAGGAAGTAAGGCTTCTCTCCCTCCCTCAATGGGTTGAATTACAGTGCACATATATAAAATGATTCAATCAGTTATGATAGTGGCTTGGGCCGTGTATCGTATTCCTTCCTGTTGGTTGTAACATGTCGGACTTAGAATAATGATAATAATAATTTTGAAACAATTAGTTCCCTTTATGAATTTAGATAGACAAAGCAATAAGAAGACGTAATTTGTCTGAATCGTGTATTGTGTGTATTTGCGCTACACATTTCGAACAATCTGATCACACACGCACACACTCACGGACTTGTCATAGGAATATACAAATGAAATTAATGAAGAGTTAAGAGGTGAGAAAATAGATACTTAGGTCAAGTTAAAAGGACATATTGAAGGTCATAGGTAATAGTATATCTATCCTGGCTGGTATCAAAACAAAGTTTACCAAGGAAGGCGGTTTAGTGTGATGACGAATTGTTGCTTTGAACGCATAAAGGTGGTTTGGAACTTTTAGGACTCCCACAAACTTTAGGATACGCCCCAAACACGTTTTATAGATAGGTTTAAAACACGTTTGTAAACGTCAATTTTATGTCCTGTCTCCATAATATGTTTCGGAACAGAGGAGCAATGTTGTCGCCTGTTCTCATCATTAATGGGTTCTGGTGATTCTGTCTGCTTCTGGAGCCATTTAGGAGAATTTTCTGCGAAGCCAGCCCTTACTTGAGGAGATCGATGAGTCCTCCCTATGTGTGTGTGTGTCCACATGTACATTCAAATTGGTAAATACAACAGTGGGATGTGACATCATTTTTCGCATGTTCAAAGGGCTTAGATGGATGGATGGAGATATTGGCTTCACATTCTCAATTATTATGATATTTTAACTGCAAGGATGCGTTCACATACATACTGCAGAATTCTCAGGATGTTCTATTGCGAAGTATGTATTCCGGATGTAGAATCTTCAAGCAAAATTATAATAGTGATAATAATAGCAGTACTAATGATACCACTGTATGGAATTTTCAGCATTTGGTACACTATGGCATCTAATTTGCATCGAATAACATTAAAAACAATTACAAAGATAATATTACAGGGATGGATTGATTGGTAATAGCAGTTCTTATTTGGTATTTGTAGTGACAGTTAAATCATATATAATTTATGTACAAAAACAATAGCAAGTAATAATAACACTAATGTTAGTAATTGAGATTGTCCGTTAATTGATGTAGTTGTCACCCCATAGATTACAAATAGGAGATAATAAAAGAGCCAGTTATTTAGCTAACAACATAGTAGTTCATTAGTTTCACGCTTTACATTGTCTCTATCGCATAGAACACTGGCTGGTTAAATAGGGTATCGTTGATTTCCTATACTTTAATATATAATCTTTTGCACTGACTTCTAGTTCTACTAGATGAGATACAAGGCGGGGAGAGTTGAGAATAGAGGCGCCGAATGTTGAGGCTCAGACAGCATAGATTTAGACCATTTCTCGCATGAGTTGTTCAAATGTCTATCGACTAATGTAGTAAAAAGTTTCACACCACTTACTCTACTGACAACCTTTAATACCCTTCTCAAAATGACATAGTCCTTTTTCAGTAGACCAGGAAAGACTAATTTGGGGGGGGGGGGAGCAGTAAAGTACAATAGGTAAGATACACAAGTGATTCCAGATTGTTTTAGCTTCTTAATGTAGTAGCGCCTAGACGGAACATTTTCTTGGAGATCGACAAAATATTATGGGATGACCAAGTAAGGTCAGAGAATGGAACTATACCAAACTATTTTGTGTTAGACCTAGTTTCTGTTACAGTCCCGTCTATGCTTCAAGCATCATGTGTACTAACCAGTCGTTGTAGACTACGTTTATGCCTAAAAGAGATGCCAATAGTCTGGCATATTGAGGGATTCAACTCAATACCATATTTAGCTTAGACCTTTGATTCATTTCCGACAGAAGGCTCTTAAGCTTGCAACAGTCTGATTAGGACTTAATAGGAAGCCAGACGGTTATATCATCAGCGTATTTGACTAGTTTGATTTTATTCAAAAGAGTTAAGTTATGTAATAAGAAGAAAGGAAAAAGAAAAGGAGAGGAAGAGAGAGACAGAGCAGCAGTACCCTGAGGAACACCAGCTGCAGTAAGCAAGCAAGGCAGAAGAAGATTCACCCTTATACACAGTATACTGCATTCTATTAGAGAAATAAGAATACAACAAGTTAATCCATCTATATATGTATTGCATCTATAGTAATGATTATGAATATATCATCTGAGGCAATATTGTGTTCTATCTACCCACAATATGAGGTAATAATCTGCTATGCTTTTTCTCTGTTATCTGCATCCTATGTGAAAGTAGGTATGAATACAAATTACGATTCAAAGATGTAAATTGAATAATTTAAACAACATGAAATTAAATCTGATGCTCACTAGCGACTGGCCTCATTCAGGCAGTTACCTGGGATACTACTGGAAAGCCGTGACCAGTAGGTTACAGCAGGCAGAAAGTGAGACATTGCGAAGTGGTCGCGCTATTGCATGAACTGGCAGAAGTTAGGATTCATGGGCTGGCTGGCCATTGGGTCCGGTCCCAATGGCTGAATGGTCTACGAGCTAGCTCGCCTTGTAACAAGGAGGTTCTGGATTCGAACCGTGGCGGTGGGTGCGTACTGATGAAGAGCCCCAAACTGGGATGAAACAGCCAGCTGTCCAGTACTCTCAGGTTGTCAGCTCATGATGAAATCCCCCAACCAATGAAATTGGATACATCTTGACGTATGAAAAATTAGGTAACTCAGTGATTTCAGCATGCTGCTACTGTAACGACAGAAGACAAGAGTCAGGCAACGGATCGTTTATTGTAAAAATCAAGAGATATTTATAGATTTTTATGTACATTATTTTATGTCATTGATAGCAGAGAAAAAGCATCTTCTGATTGGTGGTTTTCTCGCTGAAAGTTATTCTGTCATCTCTTTGTAGCCATTTCTTTGAAGGTCAGACCATATATCTGCGAATCGTATCCGCCCACACAAAGTCTGCTGTGATTGGTTGTTGAGTTAGTCTTTGTTCTTGTTTTCTTCTCATGACCAAGATTTGGGACGTAAATTGCTATCTACCAATTTTGGCTAACAGATCATACTACCAGTTACTAGCATAGAATGCATCATTTATACCATGTAAAGGGATCTAATAGGTGAAGTCGTATTTCGAGGCAAGTAGGTGGTGTGGTTTAACGACAGTTAGATGTGTTATCCTCAAACAACCAGGAATTCAGTTATTCCGCCTTTATTTTTGCTCTTATTCAACAACTAAGCGGTAAGTTATAGTTCGACTCGTAGCCGACACCTTCCAAAAATCTCACCTAGTGTACTAGGCAGGCGGTAGTGAAGCCCTTCAGAAAAAAGACAACAGGTTGGGTGTGTGAGAAGTGCTAACAAGCTTATCCCGTGTAACCAACACCCCCAACGGCTTCTGAAACTTCACGCCTCTCAAAACTTCAAGCTCCTGGTATATACATATTCAACTCAAAACACATCTCATATTTCTAATGAATCTCATTTTCTTTTTTCTTTTTGTTATTGTTTTTTTTTTCAGGAGAAATTCGTTCTCAAATTTCAATTCTCTTTTGTGTTAGACGGTGAAGCTATCCTAGAGTCTGGAAAATTCAATCTACCCTCTGCATAATCACACAGTCTCCCTATCCTTCCATTTTCTGTGCGTGTGTGTGTACTTGATCGCTGATTGGGCAGTTCTTCATGAGTCTGTTTCTATGGTAACTTGCAGTATTATACATATTATAAACATTACATGCGAACGGATTCGTCAACAATTACACATTGTGATTGATTTTTTTTCTTTCGTGACTTGTTTCTTTTGACCATAATTTCTTTTAGTTGAGTTGAGTTGAGTTAACTTGACTTCTGTTTTTGCTCTTCAATTTGTTTTGTCCTTTTTTCCGACAATATTGCGGAAAAATTTTGTTCTATGACGTTTATTTGTGTATGAAAAAATGAAATAAAGAGTAATATATATTGTGATAAGCGTGTTTTTTTTAAATTTTATTGTTCTTTTCTTTGTTTTTGTGTGTTTTTTTAAAATTTTTTACTTTGATTTGTTTCATATTTTTGATCTCTCTGATCTCAGCTTTTGTTTTCTATTTTCCCCATTTCTCTTCTCCCCTGCTTTTCATGGCTGGAAGTGTATACAAAAGTGCGTTTTCGGGTATACACCTCTCTCTTTCAATATGATCGCAATAAATAACACTGAATGACTTATTTGATTGTTTTTTCTTTGTACTACTTATGATAAATGAGTAGTATGATGTTAATTAGGTAACTTTTATTATGATAAAAACGACGACGTTAATAAATAATGATGCTAGAAGGAGAAGGTTTTTTATTATCATTGTACTGTACGTATATTCCTTCTTTCATATTCGTCTTTCCAAGGTATTGAGTAATCGGTCATAATGAGTTGATTAACCTTTATGCTCAAAAAACTGAAATGTGTTATTCAGAGACAATAAGTTTATGTGTAAAGCGTGACGGCTACGCTCTCCTTGGTTAGGAAATTTTACTTTGGCGATACTAACATCACGGATCAGTTGATTATGTATGACCTTTTATCCACTGTGAGGTACACTGTTTGTGAAATTGTTTATTATTATTCCCTTGGGTTCCAAGTGGAACATAGGGATTCAACATCACTTTAATTGAATTTTAGATTTTCCCGTCGATTGATTGGACCGAAGTGCTCGGTTTTAGGTTGACATGTCGGCTTCTTGTGCAGATGCTTCGACGATGTCTGGGAATGTAATTAGGATTTAGTTGGTGTATGGTGACTAGCAGTTGAATCCACGAGGATAACGCGCATTTCGTCCTATTTGGGACTCGTCATCTGGATGTACCTGCATTTCCCAGTGAGTGATGGTCTTCTCACCGAGGCTCGAACCCAAGTAGTCTAGTGGATAACGCTTTGGCCTTTGAAACTATGGGCACTGGGTTCGAGCCTCGGTGGTAACATCATCACTCGCTGGGAAATACAAGTACATCCAGATAACGAGTCCCGAGTTGAACGAAATGTACGTTATCCTGGATTCCACTTCTAATCACCATCCACAAATTAAACATCTCCATTTTGTCCTATTTTTTGCCGTCCTCTTCATTCGGGTCCACGATTGCCCATAATCCCTGATCTCTAACTCAAACAATCTCCTCCACGTCAACCTCGAACGACCCACTGTCCAGTATGGAGCCAGTCATCGAAGATGGCAGTTGTTGATAAAAGTTTGCAGTAACCTGTTGGAAATGCTTTTCGTGACACGAAGTGCAAGTTTCTGACCCGTATAGAAGCATTAATTGACTTCACATTGGTGTTGAAAATTCGAATCTTGTTGTTTATAGTGAGGAAGAGTGGAGAAGATTTCCAAACTGGTTTCATGTTGTTTTATTTGGTGCTGTACTCTTCAGCTGGGTCTACAAATGCCTATAGTCTCTTATCTCCCCCTCGCCACAGGATCTCCTCCATGTCACCCTCACACTGATGACCCACTTGTCTCTTTCCATTGGGTTTCCACTCGAAGGCCTGGCGTATAATGTCATCCGACGGCTTCCTCAACGTATGCATATTCAGATTTCAAGTTCTTGGTATATTTTCTCTTCATGAAATGAGTGTGATCACATGCGTTTTCTTGGTCACAAATTTCTCCTCGTCCTCCTCTTGTTCTGTCTTTTGTTTCTACACTGATTCTCACTACTTCTTACTTCTCGAAAATAATGATGAAGTCAACCTTCTCTTTTTGCTGTCTGTCTCTTCTTCTCTTCTCTGTTCTGGTGTTTAGTTTAGTTTGGTTTCATCTGGTTTGTTTCTGATCTAAATGACCAACTCTTTCTTCTCCTTCTGATTTGACCTTCCTTTCATGGGGATAATAATAATAAGGATAGGTATTCCAGTTTTTCATGTATTTTTCTTTATTCTGTTCATTTTCCACAGCCAAATTGTCTGTGGTGTCATTGTCCTAGGAGTAAAATTGCATTTTTCTCTACTCTTCTCCTATCAAATCTTTTCTTTTGCTTGATTGTATCGAAAGAACTCTAATGGATAGTATTCATTATTCCTACGGTTAGTTGTCTCGCATCATCAGTGTCCCTTTTCTCCTCACCTTTCTTCATCCTCCCTCCTACAAGCTTGACAGTTTGATGAATTCAGTGTAGAGTTATTATTATTACTTGTGTTTATCTGCGTAAATGTCATTTCTCACCCCCACCCCTTTCTCTTCTATGAATATCATCTCACAAGTGGTAAGAAGTCTACATGACTGAGTTTTTGAAATCAATTTATCCTGTGGTTGGTAGTGTGAGAGAGAGAAAGCTTCACTGGTATATTTCTCACACAGAAGGTGATTATTACTTGTTTTATTGGGATCAGGGGGAGGGAGGGGAGGAGATGCAGAGAGAATTCTATGCATTGCTTGCTTCGTGTAGCATTGCAGAGATTATTAATTAATTGTTAGGCGATTGGAAGTGCTGGACTTTGATTCTTTTTTTTATAATTGTAAGAACCTGAAGAGGAGGAATTTACTGAAAAGAATATTCTTCGTTCAGATTGACTTTTAATTCATGTGATATGGGAATATTTCACACTTTTAAATATGGTGTAGGTGACCGGAGCATAGATTTGCTCATCAATACTGACAGACTGAAAGGTCAGATGAGTGATTCTATGTGTGTTTTTGTACTGAAGAGTTTCAGTCTGAAGTCAGCAGACAATTTCATGAAGGCAAACCTTTGAAGTCGTTTTATCTCTACTGGTTGAGGCTTCCTCCTCACCGCCTCAGAGTAACTCTATATCTCGAGATTGTCAGAGGATAAATTAGTGCAACAGTAGTGCTAACGGTAACAACAAAATAAGTTCTTCCGACAATGTCTTTAGATGATGAATCATTATGTATAAGGCTCTCTCTGTGTGTATGTGCCTCCTACTCTGTGGTATTACGCGACAATAAATTATTTAATTCAATATGATCTGTGATCCATCTGGAATTTAACAGATATATAATACTTCCCAAATACAAGACATCAAAATTCCGTTAACAATACACAGCCCATCAGATTACCTTTCTTCTTCAAGCGTTAGTTTCTAGGGATGAAACTTGATTGAAACCAATCAAATTCCTACAAAGTAACAATCGAAAATCCCCAGAAGTCAGTTTATGATTTCAATGGCCGTTGCTCTAGGAACTTGATTTTTCGTGCACGAGAACATATCCCACTATGGTTAAGTAAAGGTGTAGTTACAACTATTAACAGCTCGATATTAGACCATCTGGTGCAAACTGGGTGCCTAACAAATGACCAAAATCATCGAAGCACCCCATGCTCCAAACAGCGGAGGCTATTGCAATTCGCCTCAAACAACCAGTGCTCTGTGTTCAGAAGAAGCAAGTCCAGCCCCTACTACTGCCCTGGCTGGCCTTCAGTAGAAACTATAAACTCATGAATTTGTAATATTATCTTTCCTAATTCTTCTGACATTCAGCTGTAATCTATCAATATTATTGATTCGATGTTATTTTAACAACATCAATGTTGTTCATAACACTAATTCATTCATTCACTATAATGTATATATAACTGTAGAGCCTGATGATGAAGTTATCGAAAAGATTACTCTTTGTTCCGTGTCCATTCTTTAAAAACAAAAGAATTGAATAATTACTCTTTATTACTTACTATTTCGCTATTGGTTAATAAATGAACCAATCACCAGTAAGGATGTGTATAGAGCATTGATCTGATTGGCTGGGGAAAAAGAAAACGACTTAAATTTCATCAATCCCAACTTAAGCTAAAAAAAATAAATATCGTGTTTCAGTGAAACATTGATAATTGAATCAGTTTTCATACATTTCTATCGGTGTCATGAGGTCAAATAAGAATTTTTAAACAGAAGGGAAATCAGCTCTGTTCGTGTTTTATTTTACTGGATAGAATGAGTGGTGAGTTAGTGAAAAAGGAATAAAAGTCTCTGTCACGAATGGATGCGAACCGGCAGTCTCTGAATTACTAATCTGTCGTTAGGGTGATGATGAACGGACAGATACGTAGTATTCCTTCACATCAAAGCGGGAATGGTGACTTGTGTTCATGGTTCACTCGCTTAGCTGGCATTCTTTTTCATGCCAACGCATACACAGGGCTCCAGGCAGTCTTGAAGCTTTGAAGTTTTAATAGCCTCCGACGTATTTGTTAAGTAATAGGTTCTTTTTCGATAAAGAAGGGAAGACGAAATTTGCAGTATAAAATGATGTCATCATTCTATTTCACAGGTTCTCATCAGCTGCACACCTACCTCAAATTACAATGGTTATATAGATGACAATAACATACTTTAATGTTTAAGTGGTAGTAGAGAAGAAATACTATAAAATTGACGCATCCAAAATGTAAGCATTACAATTTTTAGTTTAAGTTTTCATCATCAATTAATATGCTTTCAAAGTAGAAAAGAAGGCGGAGGGGTAAAACAGGAAACATGAAAAATTAACAAACAGTGTTAGCTTGTAGGTTCACATAGCAACTCAAAAAACAAAAGCGGTTACAGTTTATGAGACTAAGATTTGTTCAGTGAGTTGAGATCACTGAATTAGATGACTAATTAATGTAATCAAAATCAAAATTCAGTTA